GTTTAGCACTTATTAATTGTCTATATGGTAAATTTAAGTTAGTTTTTTTTTTTTTTAAATTTGTTGTAAGAGATTATTAAATTTAAGTTTTATTTGTAAATATTTGTATTTTAATAAAATCCTTTTTTGGTAGATGCATTTTGTTAAAATTCATTTTGAAAGATGGGTCATTATTGGCCTGTATGACATGGGTTCCACGAAGTGAGTTTCTTTTTCGAGCAAAAGTAACCACTTTTATCTTTTTTTTTTTAATTAATTTCGATAGTTGAAATAAGCACTCTCTAGAGTTTTCTTTTTTTCATAAGATGGGTATAGGCATGTATTGAAGTAGAAATTTTATGTTTAATTTGAAAGTGAAAAGAATGGCTCTCTAAATACTCTTTTATCGGAATGATATGTGGCAATTTGTTGTTTGGAGTCAAAATCCTCTATTTTGAGGATTTTCCTTTAATATATGCTGATGGGATAATTTGGCCCTCCAATGACTTCATGCCATATGGAACTTTTGAGCCATTACATAAGCAGTGCCATGTCATCAGGCCAGTCGGAATCACCTCAGCCTCACCTCAGACACACTTTGGACACCTCGAGAGACTGGTTTAAACGCCCTGCGTCACCTCAGCTAGGGCTAAGGAGGACATGGAGAGTAGGTACCTTGGGGGTTGTCCTACATGGCGTACACACCTCAGTGGAGCAAACCAAAGACCTCGGCAAGAAGACCGACCTCCCTACGGATTGCCCAATAACCTAACCGAGATTAGAGGTGGCAACCAACATGGCATGATGACTGACCTCCATTATATATGACTTATCATCTCTAATTCCTTCAGGACTACGTCACCTGAGCGATAGAGTTGAGTTTTGTGTCATCCGCTTTGGAGATAATCAGATAAGCCTTATCACTATCTATTAGAACCACCTCCGATTATGGTTGGCTAATAAGTCACATTCCCCCAAAGATTTTGGATGTGCTACATGAACTAGGTGCCCATATAAAGGCACTTCCTTCATTTATAGAAGGTATGCACGATTGTGCACTAAATTTGCTCATTACATTCTAAGCTCTTTGCTTTCTTTTTACTCCCATCGCTAACTTAAGCATCGGAGTGTCCATTCTGAGTAAAGCATCCCACGTACTCTAACACTACCTTCTTACAGCTCGGCCTACCGATCTCATCAACCCAACGTTCAAACTGTCCTCCAACAGAGAGCTGTCAAATAGCGCACCATCATATGCATTGTAGTGGCCACTTACTACTATATAATTAAGGAGAAATTATGCTTATTACAGCTCGGCCTACCGATCTCATCAACCCAACGTTCAAACTGTCCTCCAGCAGAGAGCGGTCAAATAGCGCACCATCATATGCATTGTAGTGGCCACTTACTACTATATAATTAAGGAGAAATTATGCTTATTATTTTGGTTAAGATTAATCCTATTTGAATTTCCTATTTAATTTTTTAACTTGTAATTAATAACCTATTTCATTTGAATTAGGGAATTGAATTAGAAAAGTTAGTTTGGATCCCACATCATTTAGAGTGGGTAATCTTTTATAAGTAGCGGCGTGTTTGAAGTGAATAGTTTTTCTTTTCATAATGCATTAAACTACTTTCACTTTGGAAAGAACCACTTTTTGGATATTCTTTCTTTAGAAGATAGGGAAGTCATTTGTCTAAAGTAAAAGCCCTATGGCTTAAGCTTTATGTTAAATACATTTTTGGGTCATTTACTAAAACCTATCTTATAGTTTACGTTTTACTAAAACACCCTCATAATTTTATGGATTTACTAAAACCTATCTTGTAGTTTATGTTTTACTAAAACAACCCTATAGTGGAAAATGAAAGTTTTGACCCTAATGTCCATTTGAATAAATTTAGTCAAAAGAAAATAAGAATGAAAGTACCATTTTGCCCATAGTAAGACATGAGCAACTGTTCTATTTGGCTCTATTTGGTCAATTTTGTTTTTTTTTTTGTACAAAAAAAATTGTTAAGGGTAATTTTGAAATAAACATTCATGAGCCCATGCCCTTGAACATTTCCCATTCAGTTTAGGTGATCATGTTACTATTTTCAGATGGAAAAACAAGCACTTCTTAGTGAAATGTCAATAATCAATTATGTAAATAGATTGCAAACTACAGGGGGTGTTTTAGTAAAATGTAAACTACAAAGTAGGTTTTAGTAAATCCATGAAACTATAGGTGGTGTTCTAGTAAATAAAGGAAGGTATTTAGGCTACAACCCCCCACCATTCAGACACAATGGCATTTTCTGAGAAGTTATTGTTAAAGCTCACAGCCCACTACCACCATTCAGACAAATAGCCTTTTCATTTTTCTGGAAAGTTAGACATGTGACATTTTTTGAGAAGTTGATGCTAAAGCCCACAACCCACTACCACCATTCAGACACGTGGCATCCCATTAATTCAAGAAATATGATTCAAAAAGTGGACAATTGCACTACTAAATATTCTAAATAGACAATTATTTATTAGCTTAACACATGTTTATGCATAGTCTATTAAATACAAATGGTGGAACCCATTAAAAGATTACCATAAACCCACATTTGTTTTTAAATGATTTAAATACTTTATCAATTACAAACTTGATTTAACTTTTAAAAAGCAACCTAATTTAACTTCTTAAAAATAAATAACTCAAAATAGATTTATTAGATAAATAGTAAATACCAAATAAAGTGGGTTTTTTTTTACCAATAAGATTGCATTTAATATCTTAAATCAAATTAAAAAAAAAAACATAAATTAATAGTCGGTTTTAAATAAAATAGGTCAGAATAGATTGTCAGTTACAAAAATGCAAGACCCATATTAACTTTTTTTTTTAATTTAAATTTTGATAACTAAATAGTAAACTTCAAACTAAATTTTATACGCATTTAATTACCTCTTACTTAGTACAGGGTCATTCTCTAGTTTTTATATAAACCAATGTTTGTCATGCAGATTCTGGCCAAACAGAAAACTCGAAAGCTAACCGGGCCAGGTCACCACCATTTTACTATTAGTCGAGATTAGAATTGTGTGAACTACCAACCCCAAAAGGCACACCAGATCACCGGTTCAACCAGCCCGTCTGGCCCGAGTCTAACAACACTGAAATGCAATTGATTACACGAAATACGGATCACATCTCCATTTCTTGTCACTTGATGGCAATACAAATATCAATATTACAAAGGAATGAACATTAAGGACACCGACATAAATCCATGTCTTAATTCCTTTTCAACGTGGCAAGTTTACACAATATATTTCTCGTTGTCATGCATGTTGCATAAAACACTTTCAAGGACATGGATTAAGGACTTTAAAATTCATAGACAAACAGTTTTTGAGGGAAGTCATCTTCTTGTCAGGTCGTTTAATTAGTGAAGAATCTAAGCAAGCCATCTTCCATGTGGCAAGATATATATACAGTTAGGGGCCTGGAAAGGTTCCTCCTTTCATGTAGAAAATTCCAGCATCAAAGGCATTGCTTTAGACCTAGAATAAGTCATTTTCATATGTGCAATCCGAGTAGGAAATAGACATTCAGGGTGGGAATTTGACTGATATGGATTCTGTATAGAACATATGGAAAATCTGAGTGTTTTCCCTATCTAATGGATAGTTCTGTTTTCATTATCTTTTTTATGGAATCTAATGGACAGGATTGGCCATATGTCATCCCTCCACATGATAGAAATGGGTAAATTCTATATGGAGTCTATATCAGGTGAACTATTTGGGGATCTTCATGCATGTTGGACAAATGGGAAAATTAAATTTAATGTATTAGGATCTCAAAAAAAAATGAAATGTTGTGCCCATTTTGGAGGCTTTCACACAGCAGGGTTTCTGGCTTATTAGTTAACAATCCACTTAATTGAGCTATGACCCTTATTAGCTAACAAAAGATTAATGTTAAGATATATGAAACATATGAACCTTTGTTAATTAGAACTAGATTTGAAACAAACTACAGAGCTTGGTTTTGAAAACCGGATTGGATTGGATGGTCAGATCGGAAAATTCAGGAACCGGTTAGATAACCGGTTTCATTTTACCCTAAAATCGCTTTTTAGTCAAAAACTGGTGATTTGGTCAGCAACCCACTGACTCAGGCAGTCAAATCATCAATCCGGACAATGATTTTTTGCTGTTTTTTTTTTATTTTTTAAGTTAGAACAGACCGTTCATTCGAACCAGACAGTCAGACCATTTGACCCAAGGATTTAAACACTAAAAGTCCTATCTTTTCCAATTTGTTTCTCTTTCCTATTCTTTTATGTTTAATATTAATTATATCTCTTTTCCTATTCTTACTTTAATTGCTAAAGTTTCAGAATAAAGAAATTGCGTTGAAGTTTGAGTCCTTCGACGTTAATTATTTTCTTCAAAGGGTCTCTTTGGATTGTGTGAATTAGAATCCACATGGAAATTCTAATGCATATGAATTTGAATTTCTATACATACATTGGAACCCGTAAGGCATTCATTGTTTGGGTGGCGGATGAGAATTGATTTCACTGTACAAGGGAAACAAAGTTTTTGACAGTAAAGTACCCAGTAACTTGATAGCTTTTACCATTCCTTCTCACATCCGTTTGTGTGATGGCTGGCCGAGGGCTGAGGTGCCAAGCTTGTTTCAGTCGATGCCACATGTCGGGACCTGATTGATGGCCGATTCCCCCCTATCAACATCCATCCACTGATCCACTGTCATGTTCTTTCTTTGCTCTTGCTTTCTGCTGTGAATCAAGTGCAAAGACAAAAGGAGCCATAACTGAATGGGTGAATCATTCAACACATGACAAGAAGTCATTCCAAGACTTGTCCTTGTTAAGGAATGGGTAGAAGTTCAAGTGGGGGCGGGGGGATTATTTTGTGAATCAGATGCAATTTGTATGCACCCATGATCCTTGTTGTGACTGAGAAAGGAAGAATCAATATTTTCTATACCATAACCTGAAATTCCCAATGAAAAAAAAAAACGTATTGGCTCATTCAAAATTGATGTACATACAATTTAATAGGTGTATTCTTTAACTATATATACAAACAGGAGCACCAAGAATGCATGGAGGGGTACTACATTCGTGAAAAACCAAATTGGATTACATCAGAACATTTACAACCTGTGGATCTAAGAACTTCAACTGCTCCATGCTTTCAGCAACTGTACATTGGAACTTCTACACTGCAAAGCTACTCGAAATTCTTGGAAAGCAAACTCTTATAGCCACTTATAATATGTATATTTGTATTTACCAAGTATTAACATGAATGGAGCCCATCAGGGCCATCACCACCATCATTCCCACTACCTCCAAGTCTCTCTCCTGGCATCTAAAGAGGACCGACCAAAAATTCCCTTCAATTACAAGCCACATTTTTCATGTAGCTAATTTTAACCCATTTCCATGCCATCATAAGCTTCCTATGAATAAGCAATTGCTACTATCAGAACTGCCTGTCGCCAAAGGCAGATCACGAACCATGAGTTTAACACTACGAGACCCAATAGACTCCAAAATCTCAAGGCATTCCTGCAAATCAGAGTCACTCATCAATAAAACCCACTCAGCCTCGTCATCAAGGTACTTGAGTTGGAATGTCCCAGGCTGCAATTTGAACCTCTTGGCAATTTCGTCCATCAATTGGAAACAACCCATGCCAGGTCCAAACTTGAATCTCACTGTGTCATCTTTGTAAGTGGCTTTAATTGTTATTATTAATCCACTGTCTTTGTTGCATGCTTTGACTCTTGAACTTTTTTGTTCAAGGAACCTTGGGGAGCTTGATGCACTACCATTCATCATTGAGCCTGAACCATTCGATGAATCAGTCATCCCTGAAGAACTTGGCTGGGCATCACCATCAATCCCAGTATCCATATCATCATTTACTGCCATAGAGCTAGAGCTTCGTGATGTGATATGGCAATCAGAACTCTCTAAACTCAAACCGCCCTTGTGTGGGTCCCATCTGTTACATCTCACTGGCTGCAATAATCCAGAGTCTAATGTAGCAAATTTAGAATCATGACTAAAACCAACTGAAGGGTTGTTAGATTTCTCTCTTTCTCCTTCAAATGTATTAGGCAGAAGCATGTTCCCTACAGGGACCCCTTGTGTAGTTCCAGAACAATCATCTTCTTCCAACTTCACTGTGGTACCCTCACCCTCCGTGTGAAGTATGGGGATTGCCGATGCTACACCTTGGGAAGCTGGATCTGGGTTTCTGGCAGCCAGATTTTTGTTTGCAGAGAACATGTTGGTTCTTGCCTCCAAATCTTGGACGATTGGAGCTGCTGCCACAAATTCCCCAGTAATAGGATCAAACTTCAATCCACCTTGTACCCCTTGCACTGAGTCAATCACAGTCTGTATTTTCCTTAATGAACGGTTCACTTTGTTTATCTTCCTAGATGGCCATCTAGAGATTCCATGTTGCCTGCAAATCCTTTTCAAGGTAGTAGGGCAAACTACCAAAAGGGGAAAAATAGAAAAGATAATGCAAACAAAATCAGTTGATTGTATTCAGACAATTTCTACACGACATCATTGTTAACAAAGAGAGATAAAATAAACCAAATATATACTTGGCTTGAGGCCAAATACAGCCCCCTATATCCTATATAGACTTTGAACAAAACAATATATAATGGGCACACAGTACTCTGTCATGCACCTACTACATTTGAAACTTTAAGTAACAGAAGGTTCTCTAACACAAGAACACTGACAAGGAAGATCAAATTGTTCATCTTATAGGATGTAACCTGGAGTAGCCACATGTGCAGCAGCCAGGTCCATGTCAGAACCTTGACCCACTTCTAATTGCAACTGACTTGGAAAATTACATGGAAGATGGAACCATACCGGGCTTCACCTTCTCTACTGCCTCACATCATAAAAATGTACAACAGGACTTCACAACTGTTTTGCCCAAATAGTAAACGTAACATCTAAATGATAATATAAGAATATAAATCGTGTAGAGAAACAGAAAAATAAATTACATGGAACCATATCAGGTATGGTCAAATGACATTGTTGCCAAGGCTTGGCAACTCAGAGTACAACACATACAGAGATTAAGGAACACCCTGCCCCTCTAAGGCAAGCAGCTAGCTTTATTCATCATGGCAGGATCTCCCACTTTAGCACCCTGCCTTCTTTGTTCATCATGGTAGGATTTCCCACTTTAGCACCCTTGTTTTGAACTCTCCTTGCAATTGGTAATTGATACATTCATACTTCCGCTTTCCACATGTACTCAATTGCAGTGTTTTAAAAGTGCAATGTGCAAAACAAGTGCAAGGTTCTTATAGTGCACAGGGTGCAAGGTGAGGCGCAAACCTTTCAGAAGCAAGGCGTAAATACTTGAAATGAACTCGGAAATTTAAAAAAAAAAACAGTAATAATTAAAAAAGAAACCTCAATTTTTAAATAAAATGTTTTAAAAAAGCTTTATTGAAAAGAACTATCACTGGGTAAAATGGGATAACGTGTGTGGAAATAAAAAAGCTGGAGGCTTGGGAATTAGGATGAAACTGTTAACCTTTGTTGGGAAAATCGCATTGGAGGTTTGTGGTTGAGAGGGAGGCATTGTGGCAAAAGAGTTGTTTCATGCAAGTATGGAGTTATTGCTGTGGAATTCCAAAGAAGTAATCTTCCTATGGAGTGTGTGTTTGGAAGGGCATCACGTGTTTTCAATCAGCCTTCCTGAATTTTGCATCTTCAAGGTTGAAGATTGCTCAACAATCAAGTTTTGGGAAATTCATCAAAAAAAAAAAAAAAACAATCAAGTTTTGGGAAGATGATTGGTTAGGGATTGGAAAGTTATGTGATATCTGCCCTTGGTTTTATAGATTGGGTAAGAAGAATGGTTTGATCTCAGAAAATTTTGAAATTGATCAAGGTAGAGCAACCTGGTGTCCAAAATTTAGAAGAGCTTTATTTGATAGGGAGATTCAGGAATGTGTAGTTTTGCTATCAAAACTACAGCCAGCTGAAGTTTAGGTGGATAGGAAAGATTCGTGGTCGGGGAAAGATTCTAGAAATGGAGTATTCTCTGTCAAATCCTTTTACAAGACTCTACTAAGGAAGGAATCAGAAAGCTCTGAGTTAAAAGGGGTTTGGGGAAACCCCATTCCTCCAAGGGTAGAAGCTTTTGCTTGGCTGGTGGCACTGGATAGCGTTCTGACTTTGGACCATATCCAGAGTAGAGGAGTTCACTTAGATGGAAGATGCTATTTTGTGAGAAGGCAGAGGAGACTCTTCTTCACCTGTTTGTAGGCTGCCCCTATTCGAGATTTGTTTGGGGCTACTTCTTTGGCCTATTCAAGACTAGATGGGTGGAGCCAAGCACTGCACTTCAGGAGACATCTTTGCTTGTTGGCCTGCTATGAGAGGAAATGCCAAGGCAAAAATTGTATGGAGCTGGATCCCTTTCGCTATTTTCTGGGAAGAGTGGAAGGAAAGAAATAGAAGAATTTTTTAGAACAAAGCCAGCTCAAGAGATAAATTAACTCTAATTTGTGGAAAAAGGATTATGGATTGGGTTCTCATCCTTCCAGAATTCGAAGGAGTTTCTAAGGAGGACCTTGGCACTGGTTTTTGGAGCCTTCTTGAATTAATCTAGTTTCTCCTTGTTTTCTTGTGTAACAGTGCTTTTCAGCTTTTCTGTTTTGCTTTGTATATGCTTTTTGGTGATTTTGGAATTTTCTCATCACCCTCTCAATGTACTCCTGTTTCTTTTATCAATAAAATTTTCTTTTTTGTTTATTACCAAAAAGAATACACAAAATGTATTCAAAATAAAAATGTGGAAATGAGAGCAAACATATGTCGATCATATGGATCATACCAAAGTGCTTCAAGTACACAACAATTCAAGCATGTGAAACTTTCAATGTATTAGTTTGTCTCCTAGTTGCATTACTTATTTACTTCAAGTAGCTAATGTGATGTTAAACATCTTTCACTCCTAATGCCAGGAGATCTGCCCTCCACCTCCATAAAGGTCCATTGAAGCAAGCCCAAACAAGTCTATGTGGGGGTTTAGAGCAAGCCCCCAACCTAAATTTTTTTTGTCTATATTGGTTTTGTCATTTTAGTCGCAGTTCATTCTATTTTAGGATTATGGATCAGATACTAGTTGCATTATTTTTGCTTCTTTAGTGGAAATTATGCTATTGAATTCCTATTTGTAAGAACTAAGGCTTCAGATATTAAAATGTCTTTGTTTTTGTTTATTTTAATAGTTAACAGACTATTACTAGTACACAAACAGCAATGAAAGGTAATTTAGAAGTTGATAAATTGTTAGAAACATTAAATCACAAACATAACAAAGAGACATTTAAAAAGGGTGTAGACCTGAGCTTAGGCTTAAGGTGCGCTAGGCATGTGTCTTTAAAGAGACTGTGCCTGGGTTCAGGCAAGGTGCATCTCTCCATGTACCTGTGGACAGTCTTGTATTGTTTTCTAGTATATTATTTTGTTTCCTTCTTTGTTGTTCTACTGTATTAATATAGTCCTGTTATAGCTTATCTTATACATGTAAATAGCCTCAAAGGGCACTCTTGTAATCATACATATTATTGCCCCATTAATAAAACTTACCTTCTGGAGGTGGGGGTATTCATTCAAATACACCTCCTACAATTGTTCGTCTTTCTACTTCAAGTACTACCATGTAAAACCCTAGGTTTACAGTGACTATGTGCACCTTCTTAAACACTGCTCAATTACTTTACTGTTTCATATAAAACATTGACGAATCGCTATGTAATGTGCCATGCTATCTTGTATGGAAGTTTATTATTGAATTGCCCTTGCCGTATGAAAATGAATGTTTTTGCTTTACTGTTTCATATAAAACATTGACGAATCGCTACGTAATGTGCCATGCTATCTTGTATGGAAGTTTATTATTGAATTGCCCTTGCTGTATGAAAATGAATGTTTGATGTCAAAAGAATTAGAAATACTGAAATTCACAAGTTTACATATTTCAGTTTATTCTTTTTCCAACCTAACATCATAACAACAAGCTTAAATTAAACATCAAATATATATCCTTTTAGAGATCTAGGCTGTTGTAAAGCAACACCTGGATACCAGTAAATAGTATATTAAATACCATCGTATTTATTAGTAGTTATAATTAATTATCCTTGTAAATTTATTTAACAATCATACCCTCAAAATAAATAGCATATTAAATGTTATTATTTAGAACTTTTTCCAATCTCTGTCTTTAGAATATGAAACCCAACCACTTTGATTTGCATTTTATAGTGGATAATTATCAGTGTATAAATTTGCAAGAAAAAAAAAAGAAAAATTAAAATGATTATGTGGGTATACCAGTTCAGTCATTTAGTGGACTTCTCTAAAACCCAGGAATCTTCTATGTGGTCATCTAGTTGAGAGACCAAAAAGGCCCCACATATTTATCATGCTAGCTTCTATTCATGGGGTAAATTTAAACCCCAAGGCACTTGCCAGGTGTCAATAAAAATACCTTCTTTTTGGGAAAGTTCTATAACAAAAATTATAAGTTTCAAGAGATAATGTTTGTTGTGGAAACCACCAATACAAGGTGGGATATAGTGCTGATGTAAACCAGAATATTGCACCTGACCATAGGGCCTTATGCAGGGGCGGAGCCAGGGGGGGACCCAGGGGAGCCATGGCCCCCCCTATGGCCCAAAAATCCCTACTATTCTATATAAAATTTCCCCTCCCCACTCCCCACCCCAATGGGTTGCTCCCCCCTGTGACCATCCATATTTATTCTTCCTCCCCCTCATCCCAATCTACCTTAGGTTTTGGCCCCCCCCCATAAAAATTTCCTAGCTCCGCCCCTGGCCCTTAATGTAGGGAAGCCTCCTACTTTACCAGAACATGAAACCATTATATTATGTTCATTCAAGAGTGGTATACACAGCCTACTAGGTCCTCCAGACCTGATCTGCTTCCAGCATGAAATCTGACCAACCGGTAAGGTTGCATGAACCATCAGTTCATTGGAATCCATAGCAAAGATTCAAGAGGTTTTAAACTATTGATTCAATGGGATGCAGGTTAGAGGTTGTGTATTACACAGTGCTTCCTTGTACTAAGTCCCTACAAAAGCATACAGCATATGTTGGAAAGGGACAGAATCAGACTGACAATAAAGATAATCTACACAGTGCCACTTTTCCAACCCCTTTATGTCCCTAAGGCAGACCCTTAATATTTGTTAATAAAGATAATAAACAGGAATCACCCTAAAGGGGGGAGAAGGCTTTAACCAACACTATGAGCTTTTTGAGTAACATCTCTTTTACCTTCAAAAGAGAAGATGCAAATTATCTGTTGGTTAGTCCATAGATGCAGGTTAGAACTCCTAGGTTGCATCTATCAATTTAATGCTTTGGAAAAGATGAGAATGTTCAATGCAATTAAGGTGAACTCTTACCACCAATGCTTTTGGCAGCATCCTTGAGGCTCCCAGAAAAGTATTGCTGAAGAACACTTAAGCTAATATTCTTTTCTGCTGTATTTCGCTTTTTCTCCACTTGTTTCCTTGGGTCATTTGATGCCTATAATAAAATGTTAATACTTTTAGAAAAAAAGCTATACAGATATCTCAAACCAATGGTTGGACATTATCAACTCAATGGCAAGACAGATAAGAACTTTTCTGATAATTGTACATGAACTCTTTGTAATGCACCAGTCTCTTAAGTCCAAGCTTCCTAAGGAAGCCTAAGAAGAGAAGGAGAATCTTGTGAAGGGCAGTTAGGGCAGCAGTGGTATGAACTGTATGGGAAGAAAGGAACAAGAGAACATTCAAATGAGAAAAACAGGTCCAAGGAAGGGATACTGGAGAGTATAAAGATTAAAGCTGCAAATTGGGTAAAAACACTGGAAGTCTTTCAAATATTTTCGGTAGATGATATAATAAGAACATGGGCTGAAGTGACATGTTCATCTAAAGTAAAAGACAGGGTGATCATGGAATGGAAATCACCAGCAAATAATAGAATAAAGCTGAATTTTGATGGGAGTTCTATGGGTAATCCAGGTCCAGCAGGCATTAGAGGGGGATGTTGAAAGGTTCTTTAGGTAAGGTGGTGACTATGTACTCAAGACCAGTTGGAATTGGGGACTCATTGAGAGCTGAACTTTTAGGGTGATAGAATCACATCACATTAAACTGGGTTAGAAGGACTGTGAATGGAATGGCAGATTCATTAGCTAAACAGGGGGTTAACAGACATCAATTGTTTTGAGCCAAAGTGTAATTTCTGTTGTAAAACAAGGACTCTACGCTAAATTTTGATGGGAGTTCTAAAGATAATCCAGGTCCATCAGGCATAGGGGATGTGTTCAAAGATTCTTTAGGTAAGGTGGTGGCTATGTACTCGGGAGTTGGGACCATTTGGAATTGGAGACTCACTGAGAGATGAACTTTTGGCATTGCTGCAAGGATTAAGATTAGCAAAGCAATTTGGGTTTCAATAGATGGAAGTGGCAGTGGATTTAAAGCTGGTTATATCTTGGACAAGATGTAGCAACCCAACTCCTTGGACCTTACAGGCATGCTTATAGGGAGATAGAATGATATCACATTCAACTGGATTAGAAGGACTGCAAATGGGATGGCAGATCCATTAGCTAAACAGGGGGTTAACAGACAGCAATTGTTTTGGACCAAAGTGTAATTTCTGTTGTAAAACATCAACTGTTGGTATCTTCCAACATGTTTGTACTAAGTTTGAATTAAATCGATTAATTTCTGATTAAAAAAAAGCACTTTTTGTAATGTACCAGAATAGTGGCAGTATGAAAAGTAATGGTGGTTGTTTCCAATAAGACGCATGTTTCTCTTTATAAAAGTGCTATTTATATAGCATACATGTCCTTTTGTTAATAATTAGGATAAGTTACAGTTTGGCAAAAACTTCAGCTATGTCCTGCACTGAAGAAAAAAGCATAGCAAACGAATGGTCCTTGCAACAATGATAAACAAATATATCAGTTCATTTATGGTGATAAAAGAGAAAAGACCTGAAATTTCTATCCAATTAGAGAAATAAAGCAAACACAACCAAATGCCGCAACATTTATCTTCTCCAAATTGATAAGTAAGCCATACTCTGTACCAGAAATTTTTCTTTTTTATGAGTATACCAGAGAGAAAAAAAAAATCTCCCTCCATAAGTTTCTCAGAGACAAAGGACAAGTTAATAACAATCCTCTCTTAATTGCTGATCTTCGATCCATTTTCAGACAAAAATCTTCATCCCTTCAGTTTAATTTCTTCTCTCCAAATGCCAATTGCCACAATCGAAGCAAAGAGTTTTGCCTAGACTGCCATTATTCTCTCCTAGTCAATGGCTCCGCTAAAGACTTTTCTCTACTATGAGGGACCTTAGGCAAGGGGATCCATTATTGTCCTTCCTTTTCAGTTTAGCAGTAGGCTTTTTTTTATAATTGATATTGAAGTTTATTTTATTTTTTGAAACTAACATTGAATTTTATTAATAAACAGTAAATAAACTAACATTGAAGTTTATTTTATTTTTATATGCCATTGAAGGTTTACATTATACTCCAACCCCATATATGTTCATATTACAACTGGGCCCAAAACAATTTGTTCCTTTCTACCTCTTTTTTGGCTAAAGCATCAGTCATTCTGATGGCCAACTGTTTTACCCATTAGATTTTGATTTGCATTGACCTTGTTAGCCACCTAAACTATTTGACTTCATTTGTTTACCAACATAAAATTTGCTCCCTGTTCAACAGCCAACCAATTACTACTTCTGAGTCACCTTCAATAATTAGTTTGCTTATCTGCATTTCCTTCGCTCAATGCACTCCATGAATAACAGCCATCAGCTCCACTCTTAAGCCAATGGATTCAGAGAACAAAGCCAGCAAATGACCCTCTGCATCTCTAAACACTCCTCCCATACCTAATGGCCCTGGGTTTCCCAAGATACTTCCATCAAAATTAAGTTTTAAGAAACCCCACTCTTGGTTGTACCCAAGATTTTTGAGCCACATCCTTTTTGGAAGATGTAATAGCCACTTCTCCCACTTCCATATGATGTCATCTGTCATTAAAGGCAAGAAAACATCCAATGTATAATGTGCTATCCTCACATTAGTAGTGAACTTTACTATCTTATTGCTAGAGCTGAAAGTTGTCTTCTTAGAAGGTTAAGAGTGGATATATTGACTTCTAGAAACTCCCTATTTCCAGCAAATGGTGGTAGTGTTTTCAATAGGATATAGACAAACTGTGGCATGTCATGATTAGAAGTATTCATGGTGAAACTAGAAATGACTAGGTGGTTGAATTGGCTTCTAGAGCTATATTTGCATCACCTTGGAAATCCATCACTGCTCTCAATTCTGAGTTTTTTGGCAACACAAGATTTGAGGCTTCTGCTGGGAAAAAAAATTAAGAATTTGAGAAGACATGTGGTGGGGACACACCCTATTAAAAGAAAATTTTCCAACACTTTAATCCCTCTCTACTTCTAAGAAAAACTCATTTTCCAATCCGTGTCCATTTTCTGATCAAGATTATCTTGGCATTTTTGTTTTAAAGAAGGGTTAAGTAATTGTTCTTCACTTAGGTGGCGTTTGATAAATCTGAAATCTGAAATCTGAAAAGTTAAAAAGATATTAAAAGTGTCTGAAACCTGAAAAGAGCAATGATGCTTTTCTACTTTTTAGATGTTCTGAATAGATAAGGTTGTTTGTGTTGAATCAACCATTCAGCATCTGAAATTCGATGATTTTACTATTTTACCCCCAAAACAGACTATCTGATAATTTTGAGTTCAATTTGTACTATTTCATATTAAATAATTTATGAAATTCAAAATAATACAAATAAAAATAATAAATAATACATTTAAAATTATTAAAAATAATTGATGACTAATAAAAAATATTAAGGTAATTAATACTTAATAAAATTTAAAATAATTAACAATTAAAAAATAACACAATTAAAATTAAAAAAATAATTAATAAGTAATAAAGATAATTAATAATTAGTAATTTACACAAATAAAACTTAAAATAATTACTAATTAATAATTAATAATTATAAAATAGCACAATTAAAGTTAATAAAGATAACGAATGAATAATAAAAAATAATTAATCGGTTTTGGCCTTTTGGGCACTGCTCATCATTGTTCTTGTTGCGAAGGCCGAACAAAGGTTGCGGTATTCCTATTCCCCCCCTCTATCTGGTTATTTTCCCTCTAAGCTCTCTCTCTCCCCTTCTTCTTCTTCTTCTTCTTCTTCTTCTTCCTCCAAACGCCCAGATCTGTTGTTCGTCTTCTTCCTCTTTATCACCGAATAGAGAGTGGCAGGGAACTGCGGCGGTAGTTCCAGCCAATTTACTTCTATCGGCCGATCCCAGCAACACCAGTTTGCTCTTCCCAAAATCGCACCGGCAAGGGAGGATGTTCGAAGCTGAGGCGGATCGGTTTTGGGCACTATTGATCATCGTTCTCATTGCGAAGGCCGAACAGGGGTGGCAGTATTCCCCCCGTCCTCTCTCCGGTTATTCTCCTTCTAAACTCTTTATTTTCCCTCTCTCCCCTTCTTCTTCAAAATGCGCAGATTTGTTGTTCATCTTCTTCCTCTTATCACCGAACTGATGGTTGTGGGGAACTACGGCGATAGCTCCAGCCAGTTTGCTTCTATCGGCCGATCCCAGCAACACCAGTTTGCTCTTCCCGGAATCGCACCTGCAAGGGAGGACGTTCGAAGTTGAGACCTATTTTTGTCTTTTAACGCGGTCTGAAATGCATCTGACCGCATTAAGAGGCTGGCCAACCTCTTTCGATTTCAGATCTGAAATGGAGTTTCAGACCCATATTTAGACCGGATTCCAAACATCCATAATATCTGAAAAGCAACCCTTTCAGACCTCAGAGGTCTGAAAAGTGTTATCAAATGCCACCTTATTCTGTTCTTACTTTGGATCTTCTCCAGTATATTGATGGTATTTTTCCCTGCCCCCATAACCTTGATCAAAGAGTTTGGATCCCTAACTCTGATTATCTGTTAACCTATGCTTTCTTTTATTCAGATCCATGGTTCCTTACTATGTCACACGACTGACACCCTCCTATTCTGTTTCCAGTCAACACTATTTAGAAAGGTCATATACTACCAAAGGTTAGAACTTTTCATAGGGAGGTGGTGCATCTAAAAATTAACACTTGTGAAACCTTACAAAGGAGACTTAGGAGTCATTTGGTATCTCTTAATGCAACTCTTACAACTAATATCTGAAGTTGTGCGACTGTTTTGCTGCTAACCAATAACCCTAATTTCTATTTAATATGTTTATATTTATTAATTTATTCAGAAGTTAATATTTGAATTAATTAACTAATTAATATTACCATGAATTATTAAAATTTATATTTATTTAATATTACATTAATTAATTACGTAATTAAATAAATAATTTACTTTTAACTAATATTTTATTTTACTAATGCTTTATTACCAATTAATTAATAACTCATATTTTATTGCTAATTAATATTAACAAATTAGTACTCAATTAAATAATTAATTAATTACTATTTCCTACTAATTATTTTTTTGATGAATTATTTCCTACTAATTATTAATTAGAATATTTCATTATCATAATTTATTAGTTATTTATTATGTTAATACTATTTTATTCGTATTAAGTAATTAACAATTAAAATTTTATTATTTTTTTTATATTTAATATTTTATTTAGTTCACTTTTCATATTTATCAATTAATATTTATTATTAATATTTATTAGCTTATTAATTTTTCTATTTAATACATAATAATTTATTTACATTTTATAATTAACATTTTATTCAAATAATTAGTTGTTTAATATTTATTGAATTTGTCAATAATTTTATGTTTTTTATATACTTTATCTTTTATTACTTGTTAATTAACATTTTGTTAATAGTTTGTCGATGTCAAATTAATAATAATTACTAATTAATCACTAATTAGTCAATTATAGATTAATTAATTAGTTATATTTAATGAATATTTTATTAAATATAATTAAATATTTTTTATTTTGTACCTTTGTATTGAATAATATTTTATAATTAATTAATCATTAATTATTTAATTTTTATTAATTATTTATTAGGTTATTAATTTTATGTAAAAAATTAATAGTTTATGCATATAAAATAATTTTTTTATATAAAAGATGTTTATTTAAACTAATTAATTATTTATTATTTTTATCTATTTAATGACTTTTTTATTTTATTCAATTATTTAATTAATTTATGATCTATTTTCAATTATTTAATCTATTTTTAAATTTTCTAAATCCATCATTGGGGACAAAATTGTAAAGTAACCAAATTTCAGAACTCAGGATTTAAGTTCTCAGAATAACATGCTCAACATTTGGTAATCAGAAGAAGCAAAAATACAAACTTTTACTTTCTACTTTGCTTAGAACTTTTTTGCTATTCAGAATTCAGAGTTCAGTGTTACCAAACAGCACCTTAGTTATTAGTATTTCACGAAAGTATCTTGTATAAATATTAAACAAGTGGTGAAACTATTCAACATTTACTAATCTCCTGCCCTGATACTTCTAGCATTTCAGAGTATGTCCTCTCACTATTTCGTTGTAGATGGGTCCCTCTGGACAGCGTGGGAAGATTGTTTGAAGATACGTTCTTTAATCCCCCATAATGTAGGGAAAAGATCTTAGGGAGACGAGAACTCTTTTAGGAAGAAAGGAATGGGAAAATATCAAACTAATGAGGCTCTAATAAAAAACGTCGTGATAAAGGTCTTTCATTGGGTCAAGACTTTGTCTTTGATCTTTTTTTTGCATATAGGACATAGCTAGGGGGCTGACTTCCTATGGTAAATTCCACTACGGTAATAACAGTACACTCCTCTACCACATGGACAACCCATATGCCAACTAAATTAGAAGACAGAAAATTCAATAGAAGGAAAGACTCGGACATTGGAGATTTTAAACTAAAAAATGCTAGATGTCAGACCCATGGATGTTACATACAGCCTAGGTAAAACTAATTGGGCTGATAGTAAAATTCTAAAATTAATATTTTTATGATTATTCTAAAATTAATATTTTTATGATTATTCTAAAATTAATATTTCAGAATTGCCTACAGACTAATTAGAGTTGACTGATTGCAAAATTCTGAAATAAACTTCTCAAGAACATACAGTCTCCTAAAAGTCCAAAAGATTTAAAGAGAATCCATATCCAAACCATTCAAGTCGAAAAGATTTAAGAGAAAGCAAGCCATTCATCACTAAAGGATATAGGATGGGAACCTGATTATTAGAAGCATCTGCATTCTGTCCATCAGTTCTGGGATTAAACACATGAGAGGCCACCATTTCATTTGAATCTAAGTCACCATCTAATAATGCTGGTTGAGAGCCTTTTAATGACATAACTGTTGGCATTGAATTTTCCTGTGCTCCCTTTTCATGCCCTAGTTTAGAATCTTCTGACCTAACTAATTCTGCATCGGAAACAGTTCTCAAACTTCTACATAGTCTCTGCATTGTACTGGATAGATTGTTTAACAAAAGTTGTTGCTCTGAACTCCTTTTGCAGTTGACAGGGAGAAAGAACTCTAATATATAATCATCATCACCAGTGAATGTGCTCCTTAGCCTAATTGCAACGGCAGAATTCAGGTCAAACTTACGTGCATGATGTACAAGGGGATATTCATTTATACTATACACCTTTACATCAGGAGAAAAGAAAGGATGATTTGATTGAAGAGCTTTGCCAGCAATTCCCTGTCCTTTCTCAAGGTGATGTTCGGTGCATGCGTGCACAAATCCTTGCATTTTTGCATCATTGACATAGCATGCTGTATCTTCAATACACAGTATACATTTCTCAGATGGACTTGCGTTACCTTCTACAATGCATTCTCTAGTAAATTCATCACTAACCCCATCAATGTAGCTACAAGGAATCCATGTCAAGGCTAGTGGTAGACTATGTGCATGACAAACTGCTTTTAGGATATCAGCTATCTCAGCCAAGGCAGCTCTTTGGCTCTTTGAGAGGGACTGTAAAATAACAGAATACTCAATAATGAGTGCACGGCACCATATTTCCAGAGAAAAAGAAAAATTAGCAAATTTCTCCCTTTTATCTATTTTTGTGAACCAACATCATTAAAACATCTGTTCATGAATACCTGTGAATGAACTCGAGGCGGTGCAGTGGTCCTCAAGTTCACAGCCTGCACATAATTTCAAGGGTTAGGTTAGAGGTCATATACATCCATGTACTATTTGTGAACATAAGTGACATGTATATTTATGCAGTCTTTGTGTTGGAATCAATGAAGAAAACTCATATTCTTGGTTGCGATAGATAGAGAATAATGTGCATGCTAGCTAATGAACCTGGGATGAATAACATACTAAGATCCACCATTTGATGAAATCAACTTTGATATCACAAACTCATCAGAATAATATAATCACTGATCTGACACCACTTTTCTTCTTTACACAAAAAATCTCCCAGTTCCACTTTCAGCTTCCACCTTTCTTCTCTTTCCTGCTGATTCATTTCCCTCATTGCTTCTTTTTTGTCTAGGGCCTCAATTCTAGAGGAAAATCTTCCTTGGATTTCTTCAAGCCTTCCAAATTGCTCCTTGTTCCAAGCCTTGATCTTCCCTTTTAAGGCTTTAAGCTTCCTCGTGAACCTAACACCTTTCTTTCTATTCCGTGGGCTTTCCTCACCCCACCAGATTTTAATTCTTTCTTTGTCCTTAGGCAAAGTATGTTACCCTATATTACATCTACCATGCAGCTATCTGACATCTTTACTAGGGCATACATCTCAAGTGCAAGAGGCATACGGCTCATATGCCTTTTTCATGAAGCGTGCTAAAAAAGAGAAAAGAAATAAAAGAAAAGGGAAGGGAAGGAGGCTTCCTCCTCATCCCCTCCTCTTAAGGAGGCTTATGCTTCTTTGCGTTCATGAGGTTTACAGCTCTTGCATTCTGAACTATGCCTCAAGCCTCTAGGTAGTAGAACGCCTTGCATCATCCCTCCATGTTTTAAAAAATTGCTCTTATTTTATTTTTGTATTTGTATAGTCACTATATCTATGGGCAGTCCAGGGGTATGATGGTCACTGTGCACAGTTATTATGTAAAGTCCAAGGGGGTGGCACACACCTTTTTGTTTCCCTCTTCCTTTTCTTCCCTCAGTTCTTTCTCTTTCCCTGTACTTCTCTCTTACTTTTCTCTCAAACTTACTGCACTTTTTTCCTTTTTTATTGATTCAGAAATTCTACTCACGATAAACCACTAAATTTACCAATGAAAAATCGCATGAGCCTGCCAAATTCCAATCAAATATCAAGTATTGGCAACTTTTGTTTAAAGAAGCCAAACTTTGCTCAATTTGTTAATGAATCAAAGATAGATAAAGCAAAGAAGGGAAGAATTAAAAATTTAAAAATAAAATGTAATGCTTCACTAGAAAACCTTCATCTTGTTTTTCCTCCTCAACCCTCTAATACTTCCTTTTTCTGTTGAATGTTTGCTATGTGTTCAAATTTAGTTAAATTTATATTGAGAAGGCTAGTAGTCTTACAGAATAGAATATGGAGAATCCATGTTGAAGTAGAATTATTGATTGAGAAATGAAAATCGAATAGAGAAATGTAGAAGTGAGAGGAGAAAGATAAGATTGATGTGGCATTAAACTAGAAAAGATTAGAAAAAAGTAGTTATAGTTTGATTGGTTTTAGAAGTAAGACACGGATAGTGGAATCCATTGTGCATGTGGTAAATTTGAAGACCCCTCCAGCTCCATCAAAGTTAACAAGTTATTTGAGGTAATAGGAAAATATTAAGGTTTCTTAATTAATGAGACAATTCAGAATTGCAACTAGTTGCAGTCAGATTGAGAATAAAATAGGGGTTGAGAATCTTTCTTGGTTCTCACACCCCTTATTATTGACTTACATATTATATTATTCAAATTACAAGCATGCCCCTTAACCAGATTCAAATTACAACTTCTTGGTCTCATCAACACAATACAACATATTGTTTTTTTACTAGGAGAAAATTTTAAAAAGGCTAAAATACAAATAGTAAGTTTCTTAATTAGAGGAGGTAATCAAGAACAAAATATTGCTGCAATAGTAGGATTTTGGATTGGGGATATACATGTTTACCAGATTAGGTCTTTAGAATGCAAAGTTGCTAGTGATGGAACCCAAACTTTTCCTTGGATAAGGAAGGAACTTAATATAGGAATTTAGATAGTTGAGGAATGTAGGCCCCGTTTGGATTTAGAAGCCCGGCAGCTTGTGTTTTCGTCTTTTCCCGTTTGGTTGGGGGAAGATCTTTCTGCCAAAAGACTGCACCCCATAAAGACGTGAGAAGCTCAATTCAAGCTTATTTCGGGAAGCTAGAAGTGAAGCTTTTTGCCTTTTTTTCGCTTACTCAAGTCTCGTCTTCGAGCAGAAAGATGCGCCTCCAACCAAACGATCTTTGGGCTGCCAAGATCGTTATGTAAAAGCTCACTATGTATGTGTTTGGAACCATGGGTGTTTATTGACTAAATGTTTTGTACCTGATTTGTTTCGAAAACCAAGAAAAGCAATGATGAACCCGTTTATGTTAGGCGCCATTAGGTTCCATTAGGCGCCACATCAGAAAAGCAGTGAATAAACACCTACCCGTTGGGGGAAGAGCTAAAATGAAGCATCCCCCAATGGTAGGCGCGCACATAAACCGAAATCTACTTTTGCAAATCCCTATGCGTACGGATTCACATAATGGGGGAAATGCTGAAGTGGCAGCGTTTATTCAATAAATGCCCACAGTTCCAAACACATGCTACATCTTTTGGTTGTCAAATCTTCCAAAGGATCTTTCAAAAAAGACTTTCCAAACAGCACCGTAATCTTTCATTAGAGATTGTTAGGAGAGATTTTGGACATATGATTTAGATCTCAGGCATGGGAATCATTGTTCACATGGAAAGTTCATATACAGCTGTTGGAACACTTCTTTAATAATTTCATATTTATTTATTCCATTTTGTGTATGAGCAGATCTTGGGAGGTAAGGGAGCAAAACAACTATCATCTCATAAAATAAGCAGATCTGTGGAGGAAAATAGTGGTCTATTTGAAAGCACAAAAGATAAAAAAAAGAAGGAAATAAAAATGTGGGTTTGAAGAAGGAATAAAGGTGGCCAGTGGCAAATCTATCAGGTTAGAATGTTAGATGAGAATGCTAGTTTTCAAATTGATGTGGAAGTGGCATCTTTGGGTGAGTGGACCATCTTGGTAGATGCCTAATACGAGAGAATAGCTTCATCTTTTCATAGAAAAAGGTTTAATATTATGACAAATGATGATATAGCTAAGTTCATCATGAAACTCAATTTGAAGAACAGTTAGTCATGATATGAGACCTGGATAGGGGGGAGTTTTGAGATTGCAATAAGAAAATTGGAGTAAAATTTTGGCTGACGTGGAAATGGCATTCAGGGTCATGATTCAGGCTCTGCCCATGATCTTTTAGAGATGTCCTTGCAAACATGTGGCGAAGGAAAGTGTGTTAAGGCTGTTATAAGGGACAATTGCAAGAATCATCATTGGTACATATCACCAAGTATTTTCCAGTTTGAAAGTGGCATTTGTGGGATGGGTCCTTCCAATAAGTTTAACAGAGTGGATCGCTTTCATAAAATCTCTAGTTCATGTCTTTCATTTGAGCAAACAAAAAAAGATCCCAGAACATATTTCTTGTGAGCTCTTGAGAGTGGATCACTAGGAGATAATCCTGAGAAGCTGAATTGATGTAGATCCACCAAAGAAAATGTAACATCGATTCATGTTGAAGAAGTCACTTCTCATTCTAAGGAGAATATCAAATTTCTGTTTTGGGAGATGATGTCCAGAGGAAGTATATAACTAAATCATGCATTGGATATTCACAAAAAGCTGGGAATAAAAATTATATTGATACTTTGACAACAGAGAGGAAGATGAGGTATCAGAGGTACAAGAAGAGGAGGGTGATAATGTAACTTTTGGTAAGACAACAGGAATAGATGTTAAAAATCCAACTGCGAAGATCAGGAGGTGCATATGAATAAGGCAGAAGCTCAATCAACGCAGCTCATGTAACACCAAACAAGGAGGGATTTAGAGATCCAGTGGGTCCAACCAACCCTGAGATAGTAGAGAACACCGAAAGGGGGGGTTCAAACAATAGGGAAGAGATTGGACACTGAGAAGATAGAGAATAGCAGAGGAGATGCGGAGGGTTCCTACATTCCCTCTTCCTTCCTGTCGTCAGCTATTTTCCAACACCATCACCGTATCAACACTACCACTAGCCATTGCCACAGCCACTAAGCACCTCATCACCAACCAAACCAAAGTGCTTCTCCATCTACCGCCATTTGAGTAAAATCCATTGCCATTTTTGTACGCCAATCAGAAACCGAAGCTGGACACCTCCAACTCCAAGCAACATCAGTTCAATCACTTGAAAGCTACAAGTGGACACACTCATGATTCGTCCCTCTATTTCGGATAGTCCGCTTACCTATGAAGACTGAACCAGATAATTTTGAGGGCTTGATCCATATCCACAGGTTTATTCAAGAGCCACCTTCAACTTCCAACCTAGAGATAAACACACAACTTCAGCAATCAAGAACTTGATGTTGACAGTCCAAAAAAGGTAAGGACAATGGAGATCACTTCATTGTGGAGGCAGCATGGAGATTGCTTCATTTAAGTTCCAAGCATGTTGTTACATGATGAAATAAGGTCAATGGAGATCACTTGGTTTGGCTGATCAATCAGCATTTGCAAGTTCTGTCCATCATAATCAGCTGGAATGGAGAAAAGATTCACAGTAGTAGGCTCAAAGACTTTCAAAGTAGAACGAAGAGGTTTCAACCAATAAGAAGAGTTTCTAGTGACAAAAAGAGGCAGGGGAGCTTGGACAAGGATTTCCTTGCAACAGGAGGATATACTCTCGACAAAGGTGGCTGGAAAGTTCAACTGAGCAGCTAGGGGAAATCAGATAAGGTAAGAAGCATCTGCATCCCCGAAGAACCAGCCAAAAGTGGTTGGGAAGTTTTTAACCAACTGCTAAGCTTGTTTTGTAGTCCTAAAGTTCTCCCTGGACCTCTTTCCTCCGCTAGATAGAAAAAGTAGAACCATTGAAGCAGGAGGTTCAGCTTATATTTCAGTCGTCCATCAGGATAAACCTTTCAGTAGTTGGAAACTTGCATTTGTTTGCACTAAGCCTCAAATGCTGAACTGCAGAGAAGTGGAGTTAGGCCTGTCTGCTAACCTCCATTCAAAAGTTCTCCTGAAATTAATTCCTTTTGAAGAAAACAGAGCCATGGGTTTTACTCCTACGGAAGAGTTGGTGCTAGCCTGTGTTAGACAAGAGACAGTTCCTGTGTACAATGACTGGATCAAGTTAGAACATTGGTGAGCGATGGTAAATGCAGTCCCTGATCTTTTGAGCTTCAAAGACTGGTTAAAAATTCGAAGGTTACCATTCCGCCTATGGGCGAATGAGATTTCTGATAGGAGGTCTTTGTGGAGACCTTGAAAAGGTCAATCCTGGAACAATGGACTTCTCCGAGTTGAAGTTTGCTAGAATCAAGGTGTGGAACCATAGTATACATGCTATCCCCTGTTTGATACCTCTGCTCAATAGGAATGCCTGGTTCTACCACTCAGTGGAGGTGGAGAAGACGAACAAGTCCCCTATTCATCTCACTGAGCCAACTCACCCTAACAGCACCCGACCACATGGCGAAACTTCTTTTGTTGATCAGCTGCTTGCCACCTCAGGAAGTTTTCGTAGCTCAAAAGCAAAGTCAGTGGTGGGACTTCAAGCCGTAGGGTAGGCGCAAAATTTCCCTTTTAAGGTCAGGGTAGACCATCATCTTAATAGTAGGGCAAAAGCTAGGTTGAATCAAGCCTCTTAAAAACAGAAAGTTCAAATTTTAAAAAGCCCCCTGGTGAAACCCCCTCAATCTCTAGTTAACTGGTAAGCTTTCTTGTTGGACTCTAAGACCCAAGCTTCTAAACCCGACCCAAGATCCAACCGCTTCAAAGTCTTGGGCCGCTTTTCCAAGGCCCAGGTTCCTCTTGCAAAGGACGACCCAAGCTTCTCAAGCCCACATGAAACCCCCCTCCTTTACTGGTACATTGGTGCCCAAAACACCGCCCAGCTTAGGGTGTCAAAAGGGAGATGTTTACAGGTCTCCGACTCCATTGGTGAGTTCTGGTTTTTCCTCTCTAAGTGAAGAGGATGACTCGGGCAAAGACTTGAGATCATACACAACGGAGATTAAGCCCGACCCTCAGGAGCTAGCTCTTGAAAGGGCAAAAAATCTGTTTGTAGGGAAGGAAGTCCAAGGGAGTGTGGAGTTATTCGAACAAGTGCAGCTAGTCAATCCGAACTACGAGATTACTTCAGATTCAGACAGCCTTGCAAATAGACAAGGAAGAAATTTACCAGCTTTTCCTCCTAAGGCCCTTCACAACCCTCAACCGCCTTTAAGGATTTATCCCTCCCCTTCTATTCTTATCAATTCTCGGGTCTCTACTTTCTCTCCTGTATCTCACTACAATCATTCTTCCTCTTTCTTTTCAGGTCCAAATGGAGGGCCTTCCCAATCAAAGCAGAGAGACAAACAATACCTAGAAGTCCAGACTAAGGTGAAGGTAGATACACAAAATTGTTTTGGTAGGAAGGAGCCTCTGGATGAAGGAACTTCAGAGAGAACCAGATTTTTGGGGATTGAAAGAAGAGAGAAAAGTGACAAAAAACAGGGACCAAATAAGAAAGGAATTATCATAAATGGGAAAAAATAAGAGATTCATAAAAAAAATGGGAAAAATCAAGAGAGGAGTGAAAAAAAAGGGAATTAAAGAGGCTTCAATGGGGCATGTTGGATTGCAGATCAGCCGGCAATAGAATGAATAAGGGAAATTCGGTGAGTAAGGTTCAATGAAGATTTTAAGTTGGAATGTCAAGGACTTGGAAGGTCAGCTCAAAAGGAGTCTAGTGAAAGAAACTCTTAAAAGAGAAAACCCCAATACCATCATTTTACAAGAATTAAAAAAAAAAAAAAAAAAGATAGTAGATAGAAAACTTATGAAAGCAATTTGGGGAGTAAGGGGGAAAATGGGTTGTTGTTCCTGCAGTTGGTTCTGCAGGTGGTATTATTCTAGCTTGGAATGAAGATAAGATTTCTGGCTTGGAGGTTGATAAACGAGATTTCTCAATTTCTGTCTTATTCACCAATAAAAAAGATGGGTCTAATTGGATTTTGACTGGGGTGTATGGCCCTAACTCACCCTCAGAAAGAGAAAGGTTCTGGGATGAACTGGACTCTTCAAATGAGTCTGAAGACCTTCCTTGGTGTATAGGAGGGGACTTCAATGTCATAAAGTTCTGCTAAGAGCATTTTTAATGGCAGAGCTCTGACCAGAAGCATGAGGAACTTTTCTAGATTCGTACCTAGACAAGACTTGTGCGATCTCCCCCTTAACAATGGCCTGTTCACTTGGTCCAATATGCAAGAAAATGCTATAAGTTGCAGACTTGGCAGATTTCTAGTCTCTCCGGACTGGGTGGAGAGGTTCCCCAATCTGATCCAAGAAATCCGTCCTCATTGCACATTTGCACTTCAGATCATTGGCCAATTGTGTTGAGAACAGAAATGGTTTTCAAAGGAAAGTCCCCTTTCAGACTTGAAAAGATGTGGGCTTGCACAAAGACTTCAACAAGAAGGTTGGGCTGGTTTGCGACTGTAACAAAAATTAAAATTCTTAAAAAGAAATTTAAAATCTTGGGGAAGATTGGAATTTAAAGCCTTTGAAGAAGAGAAAAGCAAGATTCTTACTAAATTAGATGAGCTAGATCTAAGGGAGTAGATTGGTACCTTAGATGAAACAAGTAGAGGAAGAAGAGCTGACTTGAGAAAAATGTGGAAGAAGGTGATCAGAAGAGAAGAAATTTAGTGGAGGCAAAGATCAAGGATAAGATAGCTGAAAGAAGGGGACAACAAATCTAGATATAAATAAGGCAAGGAAAATGAATAAAAAGGTAGAGGTGTGCTAGGTGATTAATAGCGAGATTGAGATAGTGAAGGTGTTGAGAGTATTCTCCCCAAGGGGAGAAGATCCTAGGGGAAGAAGAAATAGCCGAAACATTTCTTGAGAAGCTTGAGGGAAGAGAAAGAAACAAAACAGAATAAAACACGATCAAATATGGGCAGGGATGGATGTAGCTAAATTGGAAGGGGGAGGGAAAAGAGAAAGGAAGAGAATGGATTAAATTCTCATCTTTTCTTCTTATCCCCATTAGCTAGTGAAATTATTATTTCATGAGTGCAATGCTCCAGTCCCATGGTTCAGGGTGATGAAAACTTTAAATGCACAAATCAACACAAACAAGCAAGGTTGGTAAGGTCTCCTAGTGGTCGTAGTGGAGACTTGGGATCGAATCCGCCTGCACCTGGGTTGTGGAGACTTGGCTACCCCCCCCCCCAACAAAATAAAATCAACACAAACAACCAGATAGCATATTATATATAGTCATAGCACATAGATCAGAAACAGAGGTTTTCTCAACACAGGAACCTAAGGCACAAACCAGTATAATGAGTAACTGAAATTGAAGCCCTAATCTTAAGTATCCAAGCACCAAAAGATCTAGCCCAAAAGCTTTAAAGGAATGCAAGAAACAATTCATGTTGGTGAATTAACTTAAAGTAAAAAAGAATAAACAGTGGAGATCGGGAGCCATAACTAAAGGACAGACAGATAAAACTAACCTCAAGGGCACGGCAAGCAGTTTCCATCTCTTCATCAAAATTAGGTTTTTCTTTCACAGTGACAAGCTCAAGAACAGCAAAACACGACCTGTGATGGGGACTGAAAACTGGTAGAGCAAGAGATCCACGGACTTGATGATCAATTGCATGTTTTAACCGCAAGTATTCGGTCTTGTTATAATAGACTACATTTGAAGTCCATTCTGGCATTTTAGAGATAAAAACACGCCCAGGAAGCCCAAGAAAAGAACCGGGTACTTCTCTTGGGGAGAAAGTAAATGCCCTTGATGCATCACGATACCCTGAAAGAATTTTGTCTAGCAGGTAGGGTTGGTCGCAAGTGCTCAAAACAAAGTCATTTCCATGCTTAATAGGAACCCAAAATTGTGCAAGAATTCCCCCTCCGGATGATTCTTTAAACAAGGATAATGCCTTAAGCATCTGCTCAGCAGGTAACCACCCAATCGACCTAGATATTATATGATTTCCTGAACCCGAAATGCTTGGTTGGGGAAAATAACCATTGTTCTGTTTACCATCCAAATCATCAGCATCAGAAGAACTCAAAGAAAACCCAATTTGTGTGCCCATTTGCTGAAATACCGTTTTGTCAGCACAGCTTGAAGAACTTCCAACAGTACCGAGAGGATCCCCATTATTTACAGGTAAGACACCACTTATTTGTGCTGAGTAATTGTATGGAATTGCAGAAGCAAAATTACTTGGAATTGGTGGAACAGAGCTCAACCCATTGGATGGTAGAACCAGGTCTGCAGATGAGAGACTGGTGCAGAAATCAACATAAGTATCAGAATTAATGAATTCTGAAAGACCGTTAAATGAGTCCTCAGAGATGGGATTCCTCGTTCCACCTTCCACCGATGGAAAACCCTCCATATGAGCTGACGAAGAAGTCCAATAATTAACTCCGTTTTCTCTTGGCTGAAATGGGTATTCCATCACTACACCAAAATCAATCTTTCCATTAGCCACGTATAACAATTAACAACAGATGTCACAGATTCAATCGACCAAATATTTCTTTTCCCCAAAAAAGAAAACGTCCAAAACAAAGAACCATCAACCATCAAAATCAATTACCTTCGGAACTGAAGAAACAAAACAAAACTTCAATAAATAGAACCCGAATGCCTACACTGCACTGAACACGAAGCCGCACAAACTCCCAAGCTACTACAAACCCTGGAACAAAAAGTCAACGCTCTCCCATCCACAGAAAACTCAAAACCCATGTCGGAATCCTCCCCAACCAAAAACTTTTAGGCTTCCACCACTTTTCCAAGAACCAAACCTAAACCACGCAGCTCAAGCATAGCCCCACCAAACCATAGATCAACTCTCCCACTCTTTCAATTCCGCCTCTAATCTTCGAAACTCCGAAAAACAAATGCCAGAACCCAAGAACCATAAACAAACCCTAGTCATAAGTTCTACCTCGTGCTGCAAATTGCCAACACCGGCGAAGCTTATAAATCCACCGATCCGTGCCCGAAAATCCTAGTAACACCACTTCCCGTACTAAAAGCTAAAACCCAAGAATCCGCCTACTTTACAGATTCCTGATAACCTACCAAAACTAGAAACCCTAGCGTGTGGCAGCTAAGATCCTTGCTCCCGAGAAAAATATCTCCCAAGCGACTCTCTAGTCTCTTTAACTGCAGAAGCTTTATGGCTTTCTGCTAAAGATGAAGACGACTTCTAGCGTGAAGGATCCGAAGCTACAACCACCCCGCAACGCAGAGAAACAAAAGGTACGCACTGTTTTACGAAAATCACCTTCCATCAACTTTTACTTGACGAAAATACCCTCATTTCATTAACGTAACTTCACGGCAACCTTCTTCTAGTGGTCCCCGGATCAAACGGTCTCGATCATCCAATCAAACTTTTCCTTGGACCTTGGGATGTGTCTGGATCAAAATAACCATCAGACCTTGGGATGTGTCCACAACGAATCTTCAAGAGCAATCAAACGGTCTAAAGATATGATTATGATTAAACCAAACGGTCTAATCTTCAAGAGCACCATATGTATCATCTGGAACTAGAACTAGTAATGTAAAATTGTCAAGGAACTAAGTAGGAAACGGTAAAAGTAAAAAGACACTTTCGATAGGGGTAAAACAGTCAATACATATGGAATGAACGTCAATGGCTCAGGCCTCCATCTTTTGACCGAAAAGGTCTGACTTCAGAATTCAAACCATTCTTTCGTGATCATTTATAAGACGTTAGATGAATCTTGTATGGAATCTTATATGGAGATATTGCAAATTTTATTATTTTTATTAATACAAAATATTAACATAATAAAATAATAGAAAAGTAATATTAAATTAATTATGAAATGACAAAATATTTATAAAATATTAATAAATGCATGAAATAATAATAATAAAATTATTATGAAAATGTAACAAAAAAATAATCATTAATAATAAATAAAATGTTAATAAAATATTAAATAAATAATGAAATAGTAAAAAATTAATAAAATAATAGTAAAATAGCAATAACATAAAATTAAATTAAAATGGTGGAAAAAATAAACTAAAATAATAATAATAATATGATAAAATATTTATAAGATATAAAAATATGTGTAAAGTTTATTAATAACATAACCGTAAAATAATCATAGAATAATATTAAAATAGCATAACATTAATTAAATATTAAAGAATTAAATGGGTAAATCTGAAAGGAAAAAAAATTAGCACAGTTTAGAGACAAATTAGGAGAAAATAATTACACAAAGGTTACTACATGCAACATGTATATTAGAAAATGAATTTGGGTTTATTCAATGGGATCAACCTTGGAAGCTTTCCATTAAGATGATTACTAGAAAAGTTTTAGAGAGAAGAAAAGAGATCTTATAGGTTTTAATAATTGAGAGAAAGCTTATGATAGCATCCTTAGGAAAGATAATATGGCGGTTTTAGAAAAAGAAGAAGACTTAATTATATTGTTGCTCTTCTCTAATTCAGCCAACAGAGGCCCATCTCGTTATATTTTAAGGGGTAAATTATAAATAGGTACCTTGTATTTGAGGGTAGTGATAGATACGTATCCTAAACTTTTAATTGCAATACTTGAGTATCTTGGACTTAAAAAAAAATAGATATTGGGATCCATTGTTAGTATTTCGTCAATTAAACATTACATAATGTCAAAAATACCCTTCTCATGTATTTTTGATATCATTTTGCAAAGTAAAATCATCACTAAAGGATACCGTCGTAAGAAATTTTGAATATGTTATTTACTGTCCATGTGAGATTGTCATTGTGGGGAGACATTGGTTCACCTGAAAATGATTTCAGAAATATGCGAGAAGGNGAATATGTTATTTACTGTCCATGTGAGATTGTCATTGTGGGGAGACATTGGTTCACCTGAAAATGATTTCAGAAATATGCGAGAAGGATATTTGCTTAACTGACGGAATACTAACAAATGGACCCAAGTGTATATTTTTGAGAGTTCAGGGTACTCAAATGTTACAATTGAAAGTTTAGGATACCTATCTATTACTACTCCAAAGTATAGGGTACCTATATGTAATTTACCCTATTTTATGTCCATTGAAGCCCCTTACTGCCATAAAGCATGATTTTGGCTTATGGGCTCATTTTAATAGAAAAAAGGTAAAAAAAAGTTAATCCCATTATGGCATTCTTACTTTGGCCCATAGAGGCATTGTCTATGCAGACATTTTGTTGACCCGATGTGGTCCTTATTGGCCATTGTTGGCCCATTTCATCTTGACTAAGAAGTTGGCCCATATAAACATTTTAGTTAACTCAATGAACTCTCTTCTTGGCCTGTTTTGGCCTATTTTTAGTAGCCCATAAAGGCTCTTTCCCTGAAGTAGCAGAACTAACATGTTATCATTCACTTGCCACATCATCGTTGCAGAACGGTTGGAAGATTGGAAGCTATTATCATCTTACAACGGTTTTATTTTTTTTTTATCAAACACATGAAGATCTTTGATCCCCGTGTAGCCCATAAAGACTCTTTCCTTGGAGTAGCAGGCATGACATGTCATCATTCACTTGCCATATCATCATTAGAACACAGTTGGAAGATTGGAAGCTATTATCATCTTACAACTGCTTTTTTTTTTATCAATGTATTTGATGGGGCATATTAGGGAATGTTGTAATGAGATAAAGATTAGGTTAAGATAAGGATGAAGAGAGGTCAAGATAGAGTTGGTGATAGTTTAGAATTGTCTTATCTTTATTAGTCTATAAATGTGGTGTAATCTTTCTCATTCATACTGTTCTCTTATATTTATCAAAATCAAACCACAAACCACATTTTGGGAAGAGATCCATATTAAATGTCTTTATTGTACTAACAAACATAAGAAACTTTAGAAATGATTCATTCTTCTTTGGCTTGATATAAAACATGACAACGAGGACTATGCGTTAATTTGTAGTGAAAGACCCACTGTAATTACAAAATTTAATATATCTCCTATGAGTGTTCTAACATTGGTTTTTGCACCAGGTTGATCAGTTTGGACCGATTAAAACGGTTTAACCATTCTCACTAACAACAAATGCAGCGGTGGAAATGATGAGCAACTCAAACACAAAATCGAATAGGATCCCTCTGTTGACAATAAATGGAGCGTAAAGTACATGATTTAGGCCTCAAGTGTGAAAAACAACTATTAGAAATTCAATGAAAAACCACTTAAGAGTTCTCAAGTGGATGTAATGAAAGAAACTAGTGTGTATTAATAGTTGAATTTGTAGAGAATTTGAGAAAAGTTCACAACTAAAGCATGACGATCTAAAAATAGAGCATCCTCACGGTTGAGTTCGGATTTCCTCTTTAACCAATAATGGTATAGAAAGAAGTATAAAGGACTCTTAAGTGTAGAACGATGTTTATACCTATGGTGGTGGATGAGAGAGGAAAATACAAAGGGGGTGTTCTATAACATGGATGAGAAATTGGTGGGCATGAACTGATCCACACCACACCCTGTGATAGGGACCAATCCACACCACACCATAGTTCATAGATGTTCTAAACAATAGTGTTCTGTAAGCGTGGTGTGGATTGGTCCACACCACACTTTTTGATTCAATGTATCTCATATATAGTTTATAAAGTAATCTACACAATCGATCATAAATGTCTAATTTGTATAATTTATATAAATAAACAAATTGAGAAAATGCTTTGACAATTGAATATTAACTAAAAATATTAATTTCAACAAAATGATAATAAAATAATTTAAAAAAAAATAAAAATTATTATTTTATTGATAAAAATATTAAAAAATAATATTTAAACAAACGAAATAACAAATTATTACAAGATAAGCATAGCACCAAACTATTTATACAAACTAACAAATATGTTTCTAAGAAATCTAATGGCATACCGGCGATGGAGAGATTCGACAGAGGAGAGCTTTGGCGGAGCACAACGGTAGAGATCTTTGGTAGTGGAGACCTTCAATGGTAAAATGATGTATAGGATTTGGAGGATGTTGTGAAGCAAGGTATCAAAAATGAATCGTGGATCGACCCCATCCACGAGAAATGTTGATGATAATTTGGGGTGTGGATAGGGCCACTCCATGATATAGTGTGGATTGGTCCTGTCCACAACCAACCAAACGGGGACTTCATCATGTGGCATGGACCGAAACGGTCCATCCACAAGATGAACATTTACTGAATGCCACCAAAGTTAATGTGTCCTAACTGAAAACTGAACCTAATTTAAAGATTAAATTGATTTTGTCTTATTGATTATGGCTTATTATGAAGGAAGGAGTGAGAAACAAATTTGCTTTGTATCAAAAGAAAAGAAAGGGAGAAATGTGTTGCCATAAAGTTTCTTGATTGTATCTTTTTGTTTCTCATTCTTGTATACTTGAAGTATGTAAAGAAATGTAAATGAAAGTTCTTTCAGGAAGTACTCTATTATTTTCTCTACTTTATTGTAGATTCATAAATAGGCCCCATCGTTTTCACTTGGGCAGTGGGTTTGCCCAAGCAAGTGTTTCACAAGTAGGGCAACGAGCCGAGCTCGAGCCTACTATATATATATATATATTATAATTCTTAATTTTTTAAATATAAAATATTTTTTTATATATAATTTTTATTTTTATAATAAAATATAAAACGAGCCAAGCTCGAGCTCAAGGTTCTGGCTCAAACCAAGCTCCAGTTCCATCTCGAGCTCAAGCCTGATACTATTTGGCTCGACTCAGCTCGAATCCACCCCTATTCACAAGTAAAACTTGCTTGGGTAAGTTTGGTTCCCACATTCTTGTGTAATATAAGTTACTCGGGTAAAGAGAGAGAGGCAGGAGGGAGAGAGTGTTATTGACACACAAGTAAATTACTTAACCACCCTCCAAGAGGGTATCAGTTACACAGATAATTATCCCTACTAAATATTGGCAAACAACAACAACAACAACAATAATAATAATAATAATAATAATTTGATTGAGTGAATTATGTTGCACGAGAATTTATTAAAATTTTCATACCAAGACATGAGAAAACTCAATCCAACACCAAGAAAACAAAAAGATAGAAAGAAAAGTTAGTAAGCATCATTACAGTAGCCTTTTTTGTGCCGTTTTGAAATTTTGATTTCTTGTGGTCTATACAAACCTATTAACTTTGGAAATTGATCATCCATCAAACTAGTGATTTAAAAGGTCCACCTGCACAAGTGAGGCACATTTTAAGGTTTGTGCCTCACCTTGGCCCAAGCACAACCCCTTTGAAAAGGCGTGCACCTAGTGCGTCTTGCATAGTTGCACCTTAGTTCAAGTGTGTGCCTTTTCAAAATTTCACTCCTACACCAAAACTCCGAGAACCCCTTATTTGGTAATGTTATTCATTCATTAATCTTAATAAAACTTATTTTAAAAAAAATAATTAAAATTACAAAATCAATTTTTATAGAAATAAAGAAATTAAGACCCTAACATGGACTTGTTTGGAAATTGGAATTGCCTCAAAGGGCTTGGTGCAAAGTTGGCTCGTAGAATTAGGAATGAAAGATGTTTAACATCACATTTAAAATAATGCAATTGGGAAAGAAATAAAGAAATTAAATGTTTGACATGCTTGAATATATTTTGTATGCTATGTTTTATTTTATTTTTTCACTTTCATTATGTTATATTTATGTATTTTTTATCTTAGCTAATAGGCTTTTTAAAACATTTAGTTTAAAATTAAAGTGGATTTTAATTAATACTGTTTTTAATTTTTTCTTAATTTATTTTGAATTTTTTAAAACTTCTTTGCATTTTTTAATTTTTAAAATTTTATGTCTTGCTTCAAAAAAGGCCCATGCCTTGTGCCTTGGGAACAAAATTTCCTTTGCGCTTTTAAAACACTGCATGGAGCCCTTCTAATCTAGGAACCATTAGACTGAACTCTGATTGGTGGTTGTTAGGGAATGCAAGCCCTTTAGTATTTGATATGTGTCAAGTATCATCCATCCAGTTTGTAAGAGGAAGGCATCTCGACAAACTTGAGACTCTCGCCATCCAAGTTCTTAGGCACATTATTTCTTTGGGTGTGAGAGGCTGGATGGAGAAAACTATCCAGTAGTTTATGGCAAATTCAATCATCAAACAACATTCTATAGAGATGTCCACATTTCCTGAGAGAGGCATGGGATTTGACATCCAGGTTGTATATCCTGCTCAAATGGTTGATTCATTAACCAATAGGTATGTTGAGAGAGTGTAACTTTGTCGAGGTTTTCTCTTCCTATGTAGTCTTATTGTAGTTTCAGCACACCATGCCTCCTTTTATCCCTGTTTCTTGTCATCTGATCTGCTCCACCCCCGAAAATGCACATAGAAAATGTTAATGGAAAACAGTAAATAACAAATTGCTTCCTTCCAAGGTAATCGGAGTATTTGATGCATATACATGATAAAAAGAAAGAGAATAGTAAGAAACAAGAAAGGCAAGTGTTTGTTCTCCACTTCTTTGGATTTGGTGCTCACAGAAAGGAATTTGACAATAGTTGAAATGGCAAACATGATGTTAAATGAGAAGTATGAAGGAGGGGGAGGCCTGAAGATGCTGCTGTGAAGCTTGGAGAATCTGAAGAAAGGAAGGGATGATTGGAGGAAGAAATTACGACAGGTTCTGATTCAAAAACGTGCAAGAGAAAAAGGAGTTACTGCACTAAACCATAGAGGAAAGTAAAATCCTTGAAGCTAGTACGTAGGAATATGTAAGAAGTGAATCTAATGTTGACGAAGTGATTATGGATGAGGTCCATGTATTGAAGGGACAGTCCATATGGAGAAGGTGACAGAGACAGAAGAAGAAGCAAGTAAAGCTTTGGGGATACATATTCTTGGAAGGGATAGCTTTGCTAGGGAAATGTTCAGAAATCTAGAAGGAAGACACCTGATGCCTCTGAAGGATTTAGGAAGCTCTGGTTTGGACTCTGATGAGAATATTATTGACTCAAGATCAGATTGTAGTCAAGAAAAGCTAAGTTTGCATAAAGAAGGTGGGACTGGCAAAATAGGAGAAGAAAAGATAGCAGTGGATCAGTTTTTTGAAAGAAATGTAGTATTGGAGTTGGAAAGAATTGATGATGGTCAAAGGATTCCAAGGGATTGGAAAAAGAAGCCAAATGCTATAAGACATTTCAACAGTCAGAAATCTATTAGATTAATAGTCCAGGTTTCAAAAGTTTTTACAAGATTTAAGGGGGGTTTGTTTGGAGTTGGATCCACTAAGAAGGTCAGCAGGAGAAGAAAAAAGGCTCCTTTATAAGTTATTGGAGAGTGGAGAGTTTGATATTTCCTTTTCTTCTGTAAGGTTTTAGTCATGTCCTGTTCAGGGTTTTGGGGATTGGGTGTTGGTTGTTGTTTGTCTCTTCTGCCTTTTGGTTGCTTAATGTGTTGTTGAGGGGGTTGGTTGTTGGAGCTGTTCTTTGGAGGTGAAATTGCATCTTCTTCTCAGGTGACTGCTGGTCACCTTCCTTTGTATTCTCGTTTCCTTTTTTTAATAAAATATTTCTTTTATTATAAAAAAAAAAAAGAAATTCATTTTCAAGTTTCAGACTGCATACAACGCTTATGACAATACAAGAAGTGCATTTTCTTCATTTTTAACACAAGCACGACAACCACAGCAAAAGAGGTTCAATAAATATCATTCTTACCGATGATGATCCATGCAGAAATTGATATGATTCTTAATAAGCAATATACATTCTAACGCAAAGGAAAACTGATCACAGTAGAAACAAGGTAGTTTGAACTACAACTAATTACTGTTCTCAGATATTAATCATGACAAATAGGAATTCTGGTAATCTGGTTATACTTTCTATGGAAGGACAGTGAAAAAATAAATAAATAGCTTTCTCTTGCCTTTCAATGACTTTCTTGCAGAAGAAGATGGATGTTATTCCTACATGAAAATGAACACCTAGCAAAGCAGTAATGTTGTTTTCTCTGACCATGATTGCAGGGTCAAACGCCACGACCCATGACCATTTTTACTATCACCAGCATTCTCTTGGCCGACCATCAGGGAATACAGGAACCCTTTCTTCATTCTTTCTCAAGATCTCAACTTCATTAACTAGTTCACTCTCTCTAAAATTTCTGCTTCCACCAACACCGTCAAAGTCTGGGGGCATATCATCATCTTCATCACTCCATTCGTCCTCATCATCATTGTAATCGTCAAATTCGTCATCACCAAACTCATTGCCCAATAAGTTATCAACATCAGACCATTCACCAACCCCCTCGTCACTTTCTACTTCTGAATTATCAGCACCTTTAGCTCCCTCACTGCCATCCATATTCATATTCTCCTTGATAATTAATAACCGATCTTTATCAATCAACTGGGAATCACGATACGCTTCCCGTAGGAAAACTGAACCCCTATCCCCCTTCAGTGACACATAGAACATATCAGGGTGCCTGATCAGCATTCCCCTCAGCTGCTGAGAAAACTTAAACTCTTCTCTGAAATGAGTAAGGTGATCAACAAGCGTTCTCTTCTCAACAGTGAAGCTCAAGATATCATAAACAACTTCACAGGCATGCTTTTCTTTCTCTGGTGTACCAGCCTTCAATCCGGAGAAATCAGAATATGGAGATATATAAGGAATCTCTCTAAACTTCCATATCCTTCTCATCTCACCTTTGGAAAGGTTGAGGCCCTTGGGTAGCTTTACTCTATTGAACTTGGGAGGCCTATCAATGATCAAATTCTTCTCTTCCATTTCTCTAGCACGACTCTCTTCTTCACTAAGCTCAGCTGCAGAGACAGCCAACTCAGGATCCCAATGGGTTAACTCCAGTGCAGGGCCCCGCTGAGTATGAACAACCTTAAAATACTGAGGATATCTATGACAAATTGTGTCCCTGAATTCTTAAGGAAGCCCGAGGTCAGTCCTCAAATGAACAATCTTCAAAACCAGTAAATCTTCCATTTCATTCCTCACTTTCAATTCCTCCAAATATATCCTCTCGGCCTCGGGGGATAATTTGAACTTAAAGAATAAACCCCTTCTTCCATAATCTCAAAAACAGCAGGAAAACGCTTCAACAAAGCGATGAAACGACGCTTCCGACCGAGACCCAATTCCCTTCGGTACCTGCCCGAGTCTCTAACCGACATTATTCTATCAGGCTAACCAAAATCTTCCTCATTTTTTAACACCAGTTTCAGCTTCTTGTCACGTTGGATGACGTTGTCAAGGGGAAGCTCTTTTCTTCTCTTGACAGCAGCTGTTATTGGGTGAAATGGGAAACTTGCTCTTCTCTGATTACACAGTCCAGGATTCTTTTCGTGGAAAACCAAGCGTGTCCCCATAAATGTGGTTTTGTCCGTGTGTATAGTTGAGAAAGAAAGATGAGCTTTCATATAGAAGTTGGGTCTTTCAGAAGATGGACATGACAGGAAGAGTGATAAAGATGCCGGAGACGAAGGTTTCCTTGAAGGAAGCAGCAGTTTTGGATCCATTGCAGGCTTTTTGCACAGAAAACCAAACGAAATTGGTAAAAGAGAGAAAAACTGGGAGGAGTTTTCTAACCTGTTTCGCTGATCGCTGCTACTTGGTTGAAATTCAGAAGTTCACCGAGGTAAGGGTTGAAGCTTTCCGATCGCGGGAGAATTTTCATAACCCTAATGTTTTTAGCTTTGGAGATTAGTATTTAGTATTCCTCTTTCGCCATCAAATCTGTTAGCAATGCAGGGCCGAATTGTTGAAATTTGTCGCAAAACAAACTTCAGGAGGTTTTAAATGCCACTACACGTAAGTGCAAGGTGATTATCTGTAATTTAATACAGGGGCTGTGCGGCGAGATAGCCCCATGTATTAAAAGACTGGTGTGGGGCGTTATCATTGGTCCCACAGCCTACCGAACATGTATTCCTATCACTTCTTTGTGTTTATCAGGCTTCTGTCAAGACCAGATTTATAACCAAATAGTAATGAACAAAGACTACCACTGATGGTGTTCGACAACATGGTTTTGTTTATAAAACCGCTGGATTTTATTTACCAACACCTCGACCTATGATTCACTACCCCTTTGAATTTTGATTTTACTCCTCAACTTGTCACTGTTGCAACTGTACAAATTGTGCTGAAGTTTATGGGATGGACTAAACAATAAAAACCCCAAAATTATGAAAGAAAATCAATCATGTTCTCAAACACCCTCATAACTTCTGACTCTGGTAGCAGAAACCTGGGATCAAATCTCCCCCTGCCACCAGGACTGAGAGGGTTAAGGGGAAGGGGATAGGCTACCCTGTTGTTTAGCCCCATGAACCCCAATAAAAAAATCATAAAAAGACAATAATGAACAACGACTCTGTTGAGAAGACTGGTGCAAATGTCCAACCTCTCTGTCACAATCGACAACAAAGCCTCAAAACGTAAGTAAAAAGATTAAACAAGCCACCTTCCTCTCTCTCCTCAGGATGCATTGCTGGTTCAGCAACAAGCATAGTATTCAGCCCTTCATCGTCACTATGTCCTTCCTTGGCACCTGCATTCATCGGAGCCAAACCATTTCCATCAACACATTGATCATGTGACAAAGAGGTATTCATACTCATTGCTTTTTCATCTGATTTGGAGCCCTTGTCATTTGATTCATAGACGAGATGGATGCCACACATCTTCACTGGGACTTCAACTGGCTCAACCATATCTCTAACAGAAACCCGAACTGAATCTCCACCTTGGAATTGATACCCAAATTCTGTGTATGGTACGTAACCCAGCCACATCCCGTCTCCCCTACTCGGGAGTTCTATCCCTGGACGATCTAGTATCCACTTATGGCTAGGTTCGTTATCGAAATTACCATGAGTAGAAATATCAAAATGTATTACACAGAAATGTTCACTTTCTTCATAAACAACACAAATAATCAGCCCCTGTAGCTTATGATCCGGAGGCACTTCAAGAGAGAGAGAAGAACCACAACTCTTATGGCTGAACCACATTGGAACCTCACTCCCAGGAACATAGATATCAAGCTTACCACCTTTAAATAGCTTCTGTTACATGTAATTGATGTTCTTCAACAAGAGAGTACCATATATATAGATAGATATAGATATATAGATAGATAGATAGATAGAGAGAGAGAGAGAAAGATAGGTACCTCAAGGAAATTATCCATGCCTTGAATTGTAATTAGCTCATCACAATTACTAAGATCCAAGCAACGTAATTTCTGGATGTTTGAGAAGATTGGCAATCTTATCGATGTGCAGTTGTGAGCATACAAAACTTCTAAACTTGATGGGAGCTGTGGAAGTGAATGGAGCCTTTTGCAACCACTAAGATTAAGAACAGTGAGCTGAGAAAAGCAGCTGATGGTGTCCGGTAGGTTACAAAAATTGCCATGGCTTAGATCCAATACTTCTAATGAGGATAAGAACCCAAGATTCGATAATCTTTCTAGTGATTTGCAATGAGATGCTCTCAAGAACTTTAAACATGGTGGAAGCTCTGGGAGTGCTTTAAGCTCTTCACAGCCATTCAGCTCAATGACTTCAAGCTGACAAAGTCTACTCATGCTATTTGGTAGGCTACAGAATTTATTGAAACTTAGATATAACTCTCGCAATGAGGATAAACTCCCAATCTCACTTGGAATTCCACTTTCTATCAGTGAAAAATTTCCTGACAGATTGCTCCCAAGTTTGCATTTTGCCAAATTTAGGGTCTTGAGGTTCTTTAAGAGTCCAATGGAAGTTGGCAGCTGTTTTATTGGAGAATAACTTGCATTAAGTTCTGATAAAGATTCCATATTTCCCAATTCTTCTGGCAAATTTTCCAGTTTCTGGCAGTGATCAATGTGAAGTTTTTGAAGAAATTTCAATTCACAGATACCATTTGGAAGATACCTAAGTTTAGGGCATCTAATTAGACTCAAATCAACTAGTTTCTTGAGACATCTAATGGATTCATGAACATTAACCAAATGATTACATCTTCCAAGAATCAAATTCTCAAGATTGGTGAGCATTGAGAAGTTGGGAGTTTCAATTACGGATGAAGAAGAGTAAAGATTAAGAACTTTCAACTTTTCAAGCGACTCTATATTCCTCATCTGTATATCAAGTTGGACACAGAAGGAGAGATTAAGATTTTCAAGTGATTTCAATTTACAGATACTACTTGGAAGATTCCTCAGATTATTGCAGTTGCAAAGATCAAAAAGAACAAGTTTCTTGAGACATCCAATGGATTCATGAACCTTATCCAGACTTGAACATTGTTTAAGAATCAGTACCTCTAGATTGGGGAATGTTGAGAAGTTTGGGAGTTCAGACAAGAATCCAGAATAGCTAAGATCAAGAACCTTCAAATTTTCCAACATCTGCAAGGAAAAGAATAAAAGAAAGGAGTTAGCTTCCATAAAAAGAATGTAAGCAAACTCCAAAATAAGGAAGAAACAATATAAACCATGTCTTACTTTGGTTTCTTCCCAAAGTCGTTGGATTCTACTATCTTGCATGTCAAGAACAGCAAGCTTCTTCAAATCAAAATTGATTGGTATCAATTCCAAAGGGCATCCATGCCAACATAGCCATCTCAAATTTTTGGAAAAATGCTTACAGTCTCCAATAATGTTTGTATAATTGACCTGGAGCAGTCTTAGTTCCTTCATCTTTGAAAATGCTTCAGTAGTCAAACTTAATCTGTTGCCATAAGGAACCGTTAGGCTGATCCCTTGAATTTTTTCTGTTCCCTGCTACAAAGAGAAATAGATTAGTAGAGCATGCAAACCATAAGACACAAATTGCAGATCCGAAGCACCCCTATTACCCCAAGGCCTAGAAGTGATAGGGGTGCTTATTCTTATGCTTTCAAGTAAACCCCATGGTAAAAACAGAACTCATACAATTGGTTCTTACACTGTAGTTTGTCAAAACATCATAGGCATGCTCATGAGACCATAATCTACTACACTTTCCAATTTCCTCAAGAGATTCTTCATGAACAATTGTCCTTCCCATGTCTCGAAGCAAATCATGCACCCTCAACTCATTGTTTTTGTTGATTGTTAGAAGAGACCTACGACAAAGAACACCAATTCCATATTCTGCGGCAAAGTCACAACCATCTAGTATTTTAACAACATAGTTTTTGTCCATTCCAAGAAAGAAGCACACTATATCAAGGAAGATATTCTTTAATTCATAATCATCCAGTGCATCAAAACTTATTCTCAGCTTTCTCTGAACTTGGTTAGGAGGAATTCTTTTTATTTTCTCCAAAGCACTTCTCCATTCAGGTAATGTTTTACCATATAAGGAAGAACCCAAAACCTCAAGAGCCAAAGGAAGCCCTTTAACATAGCTTACTATATTTGTTGATAGCTCCACATAATCTTCTTTGGGGTGGTCTTTTTTGAAGGCATGCCAACTGAAGAGTTGAATTGATTCATCATTATTCAATTCTTTAGCTTTATATTTGGAATCCACTTGAAGAATATCTAGTAAATGCTCATCTCTAGTTGTTATGATGATTTTGCTTCCAGATTCAAACCACCCACGACCAACCAATGCTTTTAGTTGATCAAATTGATCTACGTCATCAAGAACAATGAAAACCCTTTTTCTACGAAGTCTTTCTTGGATTACAATGATTCCTCTATCAGCATTTTTTACATATTGTTTCTCTTCCTTATCCATTAATATGTCAGAAATAAGTTGATTTTGTAAACATACTAGACCATTGGGTTGTTTTGAAACTTCTCTTACATTTTCAAGAAAGCTGCTACCATCAAATTTGCGAAACATTAAGTTGTAGACAGCCTTGGCAACAGTTGTCTTTCCAATTCCTCCCATACCATAAATCCCTACGATGCAAACTCCATTTAACCTAACATTTAATAATGATTCGACACATTGCACACGGGAATCTATTCCAACTGGGAAAACAGCAACATCTAAATGCACTTGATTCAATTTAGTCAAAACTTCTTCAACGATTCTCCAAACACACTTTGCCTCATGCCTGTCAATTATAATCCAAGTATACATGGCTGTCAATTGTGATCCAAGTGCACACAAACACACACACACACAGAAAGGAGAGAGAGAGAGAGAGAGAGAGAGAGAGAGAGACTGTTAAAATATAAGCATATAAAAAAATGGGACCAAACCAAAACTGTAAAGTCAAATAGTTACACAAGACCATTTTTTTAGTACAGATGAAGAAAGTAGAAAAATGACTTACAATCTGAAAGGAATATATTTACACTTTTTGTTCCATTTATTTCTTCATTTTCTTTTTTATTGTTGTTCTATTCATTTCTTGATTTCTTCTTCTTCTTCTTTGTTGTTGATCTGTTTATTTCCTTCAGTTGGCCACCGCTTAATATTACAGTTCTTATCTTTAATAGTCAATTAGTGGGGTTTTTAAGAGAAAGTAAGGTACGGTTTCAATTAGTGGGGTTAGTATTCCATTAATTCCATTTATATGTATCCTTTTTTATAAATGTCATTAACTCTAGTTCAATTCTAATTTTCTGAGTTCTTCTTTGTAATGTAATTCTATTCGTATTTGTAAATTCCCAAGTACAGGATCATGGCCCTTTCTTTTGATTAATAAAAGTACATACCAAGCTCATTTACAAGTTCTGAAGAAAATTGTTGTTGCGTAACAAATTAAGTTCTTCAAACTTCATATAAATCTGTACTTTCAGCCTACCACCAAACAAATAATCTGTTAAAGTTCAGCCTGCCCTAGAAATCTGTTTGGTTTGTTAGTTGTAAAGTAAACAGCAAGAAGGAAGAAAAGAAAGAAGAAGAAGGAAGAAAGAGGAAGGAGAAGAGAAAAGGTCTGGTTCGAAACTCAGGAAGTCAACCTAGATTCGGCCAGACCTGTTATTATATTATTAATGTGTCTGGAAAAGACAAGAGTGCCCTTATTTAAGTAAGAGGCACTCGAACTAACATAATAGTACACATCAGCACTCTCAACAGGTGTGCAAAGACTAAAATATCCCTTCACTAACATAATCAAAGCAAATAGGACATCCATCAGAAATCAATTTTAATACAATAGAAACACAGGCACATCCAAACCAAAAAGCTCATTGTTTTTTTTTATCAGCACCAAACCAATGTTTTAAAACGTAGAGGTGTGATGCAAGGCGTTCCACTACCTACAGGCATGAGGCATAGTTCAGAATGTAAGAGGTGTAAGCCTCCCACACAGAAGGAGTGTAAACCTCCTTAAGAGGAGGGGGATGAGGAGGAAGGAGGAGGAAGAAGAGGAAGGAGGATCTCATTTTTCTTTATTTTTAATAAAAATCTTTTATGTTAAGAAGAATGAAGATGCATAATACTGGTTGAAAGAGGGGGTCTTTTCTTTCCTTTTCTCTTTTTTTCCTTTTTCTTTTTTTTTTCTTTCCCTTCCCTTTCTTTTCCTTTCCTTTCCTTTCCTTATTTTTCTTTTTTCTTTCTTTTTCTGTCTTTTTATATGAGGTGTGCATGAGGCACATGGGGCGTACACCTCTAGCATGCCTCATGAAAAAAGCGTATGAGGCATCATCAGAGGTGTCAATGCCTCTGCCATATGCCTCAGGGCGTTTTGGGGGCATGTCACCTGGAGGCACGCCTCTCACACCTTTTAAAACACAGCACCAAAACCTAAAAAATCTTTGCCAAGTTTTCTTAGAATCAAGCTCTCAAATTCCAAACTACACGGGTGCAACAAAATCCAAATTCCATACATGAATTAGAACCATCAAAAGTAGAGGATTGGAAGGAAGTGAACATACTTAAGAGAGGTATAATTGTATAAGAATGCAAAGACAAATGAGAACAACATTAAAGAGTTCATTCTAGTCCAAAGAAAGACACAAACAATAAAGTCAACAGATAATGCAAAGCTTCATAAAAGATACAGAATTAAACTAAAATCCAAGGGAGGATATAAAAGGAAGAAAGAGTAACAAGAAAATTTGATGGAGAGGCAGTAAGACAGTAACCCCTCTCTTTGAAGATTAGAATAGATTGCTAAGAAGCAAAAGGTACAACCCACAACTTTGATAGAACCCATGTAGAAAACACAAACATCAAAAAACCAAAAAGGACCATTACTCCATGTTGGTTATGAGTAGTACTTTTTGTTAAAAAACAAAAGATACAACTCATAACTTTGATACATCCCATGTAGACAAATACATACATCAAAGAAGTACCAAAAAGAACCAATACTCAATGCTGTTTATACTCTGGATATCCAGGGTCTTGTCAAAAAAAAAAAAGAAAATCAGTAACAGAGAGTATCATTAAAAGAAATAGTTAAGAGTACATGTCAAATTGGATAGGTAATTCCCAACAAAATTTCCAGTTACAACTTTAAGCGAATTGCAGTTCAGTCCAGAACAATTTCTGCCTAAGAACCCCTTGCTTAGCCAAAAAAAACTGCCATCTCATTTGTAGTCCTTCTAACACATTTGAAGGTAGCTCACATTTCATCTATAAAAAAAAAGAAAAGAAAAGAAAAGAAAAGGTAGTTCCCATTTCCTTTTCTAACCAAACAATTTCCCTTAGTGTTGGCCCAAGCACCTGAATTCTTACTATTTGTCCAAGAAATTACCAACTATGAATCTCCCTCCACCTCCATCTGCTGTAACCATGTTGCTTAGCTATCCTTAGACCTTGTAGCAATGTTAATATTTCGGCTTTCAAAGAATCACCAAACCCAATCAGGCCTGAATACATTGCCACCAACTTGACTTCTGCATTCCCAAAGACACCACACTTTCTGCCAGGCCTGGATTGCCTTGAGAGCTCCCATCAAAATTCAGCTTCACCATGTTGGTAACAAGAGGTCTCCACTTCTGAGAAAAAACAATAATAGTAATAATAATAATAATTGAGGTTTCCACTCCATCACAATTTTCACTATAGGAGAGTTTGTCACTGCTTCCCAAGCTCTTATTATGTCATCCACTGAAAACCCCTAAAAGGCCTCCATTGTTTACACCCAATATGCAACTATTATTTTTGTCCTCCCCACTATTTCTACTTTGGATTTACACTTCTCTTTGAATATTCTTTCGTTTATTTCTTCACGAATATTCCATACTAATGCTACTCTAACTGCCCTCCACATAATTCTTCCTCTCTTCCATGGCTGCCTTAGAAAACTTGGGCTAAAGAGGGTTGCCACAAAATGCAATGAACTTATTTTTTTCAGTAAAAGTTCATTTCAGTAATTTCAATTAAAGCATATTACTGTTATTGCTGTTACAAGACAAATCAGTCCCTTTACAATTTGAAAGAAACCTAATTACACATCTACCCAAAAGAATTGTTCCCTATGCACCCTTGTTTAGGAAAATATCAGCCATCCCATTTGCTATTCTTTTTAGATTTTACCCATCTAAAGGTTGCCCCCAGCTCCTTTGCTATGTTCTTAATCTCTCTTATGATATGATTATGAATCTACACACCTGGGCTGTGCTGTCATTCATCCATGAGATTACCAGTTTGGAATCCCCCTTAACCTCCAAATGTTGAAGGCCAGGTTGCTTTGCTATTTTCATTCCTTGGAGTAGCCATCACTTCAGCTCTTAAGGTATCCCCCACTCCAAGCGGGCCTGAAAATAGAGCTACCACCTAACCTTTTACACCTAGATTTTATGGAAGGACATAGATATTGTAGAAATATTTTGTAATAATAAATATGCAACTACTAAAAGAAAATAATAAAAATGGTATAATCACATCAGCTAAGGCTGAATGTAATAAGCATGTTGGAAAGATGCAAGCTGTGAAATGAGAACAAATTTATTGCTGATAACATTACCAACATGCTAGTTAGAGGAAATTTCAACATCAACAGAAAGCCATGGGAGTGATTGGGCGGTAGTAATCCAAAGAACCAAATGATATTGGGTTTCAATGACTGTAATGAGTATTACAGCCTAGTGGATCTAGGATAATACTGGCAACAAACAAACTTCGACTAAGGGCGGGTGGAATTTGGCCAAGGTTTGGAAGGTGCTTTCTCAACTCTGGATTCTTATGGTAGTGTTGGTGTAATTTACTTTTGCTGTCTCAATTCTGAATTTCTGATCATGTACTTCTTGTCATTAAATTTGGTAACTTTTCTAGCTTAGAGCCTACTGAAAACATGCAGATTGAACAGGTACAAATAAATTTCCACTATCTGTCAAATTAGGAGGTAGCTTCCTATCATATGTTTGATATGTCTATTCTGGATGAGTTGCAAATGCACCTAGAAAGGTTCCTTTGGTTGAAATCCAAGTTGAACATCTTAGATGGAAAGCTTAATTTGCAGGTTTATGACATGTAAATAGAGTTCCAATCAACGAAGATTTCCATTTGAACTTACTAGGGTCCCTGACTCAAAATCTGTTTGAACTAATTATTTCCCTACAAGCGATGTTTTATGGAAAAAATGTACATAAGTGCATTTTCCAAATACTCTTTATACCGGTGGAAATGCGATTACCTCTCTCTTTTCTTTACCATATAATGTATATCAACTTCTGGATGGTTGAAGTCCATTCACGTTGAAATACGAAGAGGAATTACCTTAGATTTCTGTTGCTTTCAAGGGTAGACTAAAGTATGTTATATGTATGGTCCAGAGAAGCTCTTCTCCCTTTGCACGCCTAAACAGAGAAAAAGAACCCCTGCTTCATGCACTGTTTTATGCTTTTGTCCCATGCACAGAAGGCATGAGGATTGAGGAGAGAGAAATGATCTAAAAAGGTACATATTTGAAGACAAAACTCAGAGCAATATGATCTATAAAGTTAAATATATATGAAAAAAGAGCGCGAGGAGCATGAATAACGGTAAATTGACCAAAAATAGAAGAAAAATAAATTGCAATGGTGGATTACCCGTTGTCAACCTTCTGTAAATCCCACCCAGACAAATTCGCAGCTTTTCTGAGAGCTGTTTCCCAACTCTGCACCTTCATCATATCCGCCTTGAATCGCTTTTTAGTTTGGGAAAATCCACTCCCAAAGCTTCCAGTCTGATTGCGAACCTCCGACGGTTCAACGTCATAGAAAACGGGAAAAACCAATTGGCCCATCGTTTCATTGCAATATAAGATTTTGAGAAGCTCATCCAAGCACCATCTTGAAGAAGCATAGTTCCTTGAGAAAACAACGATGGAGATTCTTGATTCTTCGATTGCTGTTTGCAGCTCAGACGAGATCTCTTTTCCTCTCTTGAGTTCTTCGTCGTCTCTGAACGTGTAAATTCCGGCTCGATCCAAGGCGGTATAGAGGTGATCAGTGAAGTTCTTTCGGGTGTCTTCACCTCTGAAGCTCAAGAAGACATCGTAATTCCATCGGTGGACGGAAGAAGCCATTGAAGCACGAAAAGTACACAATAATCGCTATAGGAGGTTTTGGTGTAGAGACTAGAGATGACATCTGAAGTCAAGAGGGAGTCTGTTAAACATTACAAGTTTACGTCCGTCTGGGTTGATTGAATGAAGGTAGCTTTAGACTTGCAGCAAAATCTATGTCTATATCTGTATATACTTTGTAGCAGATACTTGCCTTCAGCAGGTCGAAAAGTGTTTTAGTAAAACTAAAGGGGAAATTTTCACTTTATACCCTCAACTTTGGGGTAGTGTGAAGTTTATTATCCGAGCTTTCAAATGTCAGTACCTAAATTTTCAAAAAAACTGTAATAAGTATCATATAAAAGAACAAAAATATCCTTTACCTATCATCTAATCAGTTAGAAGTTTAAAATTACCCATTATCATAGGCAATGGCGTTACACTTCTCTACCAAAAGACAAGGGAAAATTGGTGTGAATTCTGCGGTTCTGCGAAGATAGATTGATATCAGTAAGTTATTTGCAATTCTGCGATTTCTCCTCCTTCAATCTGGTGGCTTTCCGGATAGAATTGGTGTGAATTTGTTTGACATCGAGCGTCTTAGGATTGCTGATTGAACGACAGGTCGATCATGGTGAGCTGGTATTATTTCGGATGAAATTGATTGAATGTTGTCTCCTTGGAGGCAGATTTGACACCTTTCCTTTTTTTCTACGATTTCCCCATTTTTATCTTGAGGGGATTGGGGTGATTTAATCATTGTAGCTGCTGGTTAGAGTAAGGGTTTTAGTTCGTTATCGATGCCGGATAATTGGCATGTTCAGAATAATGCTGTGTCCACTTCTGATGCCTCGGCCGATAACCTCGAAGGTAATTTGATCTGTCTTAATTCTTTTGTTCCACTTTAGATACTGATGTAGGCGCACATGGCAGGTTTGATATTTTGACACGTGGCATCATCAGGATGGCATCCTGATTGCTAACAAACTCTAAGCAGGTTCAAGTATAAATAAGTGGTGCCATTCCCTAGGTAAGCTGTCTTGGTTTTTCTACTCTCAAACTCTGTAGCATCCTAGTGACCTCGTCTGAGTTACCTCTTTCGAGCCTCGTCCGATCTCTTACTAACTTGACCGTCCGAGTCCCCGCCCTTGGGATAACACCTACAGCCTCTAACGTGCTTCTTCCTTCACATGTTGGATTTGCATGCCCTTGGCTTCACCAACCCTCAAATTCAATCAACCCTCATCTACGGAAGCATAATTACATTGTTGCCCTTGTCCCAACCTTGGTAGCAATAGATACCTATCACGACTATGCCGAATTGTCTTGTTATGTTTCGATGTTAAAACCGGAGCTCCTTCAATTTGGGTTAATATTTTATTGGGTGTTTGCTATTCTTATATTTCTTACATTGTTCATTTTGATTGTACTTCATGAAGTATCAAGATATCCTACCAAAAGGCTTTGATCATGGAAGCAATAAAACCAAACCCAAGAACTAACTTTTATCAAATCAGACATTCTTGCTTCTCTACTTTGGTTTGGAACCTAAGTAATTGGTTTGGTCGGCGATAGGACTAGCAATCTTGACCCCAATCCATTTGATCCACCCAACCCACCCACCTTGGAACTCATCCATACCCACCCAACCTATTGGCGGGTCAATATGAATCGAGTAACCCATTAGGGTCAATGGAAAAGGGTCAGGGTGGGTTGGGTCGAGAGTACCTATTAGGGTTAAGATGGGTTGAGTCGTGTGGGTCGGAATAGGTTGGATCAAAGACTCAAAGTCAGCTCTATCTATACTCGCCAAATCCTAAAAAAATAGCAATTAAAGTGACTCAAGCTCAAGCCTCTTAGCGCATTCACATCTCATTACAATCCCAAACCACCATGACACATGTCATTTTGGAATTAAAAGTGAAACAAAATGGATTTTATTAACTTTCACGTTCACATGCAATTTTACACAAGCAATTTTATAAAGTAACTTTATAAAAATGACTTTTACGAAAGCACTTTTACAAAAGTACTTTTACATGAAAGAACTTTTATGAAAGTACTTTTGTGAAAGTACTTTTACAAAAGCACTTTTACACGAAAGCACTTTATGAAAATACTTTTATGAAAGCATAAAAGCACTTTTACAAAAGTACTTTTACATGAAAGTACTTTTACAAAAGCACTTTTACATGAAAGCACTTTATGAAAATATTTTTATGAAAGCATAAAAGCACTTTTACAAAAGTACTTTTACAAAAGAACTTTTACATGAAAGCATTTTTATAAAAGAACTCTTATGAAAGCATAAAAGCACTTTTATGAAAGCACTTTTATAAATGCACTTTTACAGAAGTACTTTTATAGAAGTACTTTTGTGAAAACACTTTCACGAAAGCACTTTTGTAAAAGATGCATTTTCTACAATTTTTTTGTGCTTTTTTGCATTTTCTGGTGTTTTTCATGCATTTCCTACAATTTTCTAGTTTTTTTTTTTTGCATTTTTGGGTATACAAGTTGACCTGACTCTTTTTGTCACGTGGCAGCCTTGAGAGAGATTATTCTCTCAAAAATTATTATTTCGAGTATAGGGTTATCCTAACCCCTTTTTTGTATTTTTAGGTGAGGGTAGGTGGGTTAGTATGGGTGAGGGTGATTAAGGGTCAATATGGATGGATCAAGTACGTCAATATAGGTGGGTTAGGGTTAGGGTGGGTTATGACCCTTTAACAAGGATTGATGATGGGTCATGGTGGGTGGGTGGGTCAATATGGGTAGGTTGGTATTCAACCCATATCCAACCCAACCCACCCATTTGCCACCCCTAATTGACGAAGACATTCACATCTCCATTCTCTCTTCTCTTAACCCAATGTGCCACCCCACTTCAGCTTAACTTGACACAAATCACCATTTGGGATCGACTACTTCTCTACTTTGGGATAAAATCACCCCACTGCAGTTTAACTTCTTTCGGTACTGGGGTGCCGCCTAGGGGTAGCCACAAGCCGAGCTCTTCATGAGCTACTCGAGCTTGGCTTGGCTCGGTTTCAACAGGGCTTTGAGCCCAATTTAGAGGCTTGATTAACAAACAAGCCGAACTCAAGCCTAATAGAGCTCGGGTCATGAGGCTCGCGAGCCAAGCTCGAATATATATATATATATATAATAAAATATATAATAAAAATATTATAATTCTTGTTTTTTAAATATTAAATAAAAATATTTTTTATATATAATTTTTTATTTTTATAATTTTTTTCTCAAATCGAGCTCAAACTCAAGGTTCTAGCTCGAACCAAGCTCGAGCCCTGTAATACATTGGCGAGCTGAGCTCGAGCCTCATACTATTCGGCTCGGCTCAGATCAAATCCACCCCTAGTGCCGCCGTTTCACCCTCCCTCCTTCCCGTTCTGGTTAGAGGTGGGCCTACCATCTAAAGGTAGAAGACAATGAAAGGTATCTTCATTAGTAGAAAATCTCAAACACCTCAACCAGTTCAGTCTCAAGGTAGAAGACAATGAAAATGTCTTCTTTTGAAGGGTAATTTTGACATTTCCAAAATTTTAAGTTGCACATGTCATCACATGATTAAATAACTGACAATCGGTTAACGACAAGGACCAACTTGACACTTTTTGAAAGTTTGGGTACTGTAGTGACACGTTTGAAAGTTTGGGTACTAACTTGACACTACCCCCAAAACATCACATATTTACAGGTGTTGTTTAGCAAGTCCTTCTTTAGATTTTAAGGGCATAGGTCTTTTCAATTTCTTGTTTTTCATTGGCAAATAGAGAAAGATCAAATTTTGGTTTTCCAAGTAAGGGTGCAAACATATCAGATTATGATCTTATCCTATTTTTTGTTGGATTTGGATCACCCCTTTGGCAAATTTTTGGATCAGATTGAAAATCATATCAGATTTGGATCTCCCCATATTGGATCCAAAAGGATCTTATCAGAACCAATCTATATATATGTATATATTTATAAACATATTTACTTATAAAAAGACATGTATATATTATTATATTTATTAGCATATTTATTTATAAATATGTTTATATTGCATTTTTTTAATTTTTTTTATAAAAATATATGTATATGTTAATATATAGGATAAAAATAGTTGAAAAAATACTTATATTTTTTGTTTCTCTTTATATAAATTGTTATGTTTTTTCTTTTAATAATTTATTAAATTTTTCAGAATTTGAATCAGATCATATTTAGATATCTGACATCCTTAATGGTTTCAAATTCGAATCACCATTTGTGAGATCCGATTGGATCTTCGAATCATATCAGATCCCAAATATATGCTATCGGATCGGATTCATATATACCCTGATTTGAATCTTATCCAATCCACTTTCATCTCTATTTTTTCAAGCTTTAGAAAACTTGAAATTAAAACCACACAAAAAGACTTGTCATATGCCTCCAAAAATCGAAAGATCATATCATATATCTTATATCTTTACATCTTTATCCTACATGCACATGTGCATAGCATGTGCCCTTACACTCGTAATAAATAAAGAATTAAGTTAGCTTTGATAGTGTTTGGTAATGTCTAGCCACCAAAAAGACAATGAAAGCCTAATAAGCAAAAACTAATTGGGCATCATAGATTTATCATACATTTCCAGTATCAGACCCTTCTAGAATCATATTGGGTTTGACTATGATTAAGGGTGGACACAAATTGAGCTTTTTACAAGTTCTTTGAGATTTTGTTCATTCAATCGAAATCAATCTTCCTTAGCTTCAAGTTGAATTAAAGCTCAATATATAGACTTGTCTGTGTGATTTTGGAAACTCTCAGCTTTGGTCAACCTTTTAGTGCCTAGAGTTATCAAGGAAATTAGATGAAGCCAAACAACAGTGGATCTACACTCTTCATCTTAAAATCACATTTTGGGCTATGATCCATTGATCCTACCTTTGGGACCCTAAACTGAATGGTAGGGTAGACTAGAGATGATGAGCATAGTTGTCTAGGTGATTCTGGATGACATTAATTGGGCACCTAGTCGCCTAGTTGATTAGGAAACACCTAAGTGATAAATACTTTATAATATAAAGAATTAACTTTTGGCTAGTTTCCTAGTTTTATATACCATTTAGTATGCATATTAATTGAAATAATAGAAAGCATCTTTACTAAAAACATTAAGAATCTTTTAAATATATTAATTTAATTATTTTAAGCAATACAACTATAATAAGCTTGATAAAAATACTACTACAATAAGTATTTAATAGAGAAATTTCATATCAATTAGCAACTAAAGAAGGTTATCAACTAAAAAAGGATGGAATTGCTATTTTATTTAATTGATGAGAGGGAAAGTGAATAGAAAAAAAAAAGAAACCCATCTATACTTCTATTCATTCATTCTCTCTTCTCAAGATCCTTTGATCTTTTAAATTTCAATAATTTATGAAAAAAAAAACTTTTAAATTTCAATAGAAAACATTAAAACAAAGTGTCAATGGCACATATAGTATATCCTAGAATGTATTAATACACATATTAATAAGATGCAACAATATAAATGATATTATAATAAGGCACTCACATTGACATTTTTGCCTACTCACCTAGATGGGCACCTAGCTGCTATAATTTAAGACGTTTGGCCAAGGCACCTAGCCAAGGGTGCCTAGTCACCTAGGTGACGCCTTAACAATTATGACGAGAGAAAAGTCTTTTGAATTTGTTTTAGCATGTAAACCATGGCTACAAAGTTAGGGGATTTTCTCTAAGAACTTGGGTGTATTTCTCAACTTTGTTTTAATTCCACAATGGATATAGTATTAGTAGACTTTCTTTCAACTGTAATTGCAAAAATATGTTATAATCATACTTTTAACTTTGTTTTATACATTTTTCCTTAAACAAGCATACAACAACACATGTATTCAAGGATTTTGTTTCTCTATACTCTTAAATTGCATTTAAGTTTTATTTTATTACAAGATCTTATTATGACATTATTCATAGGAATTATGACACTACTAATGGAACACTAGTAGATTAATGTGCTTCTTTTGGTATTTATAAGGTACTATGTCTCTTAAGACATATTTTTTCTTTTTTCTTTTTTTACTTTTGAAGGTTTCTGTTTTTGGTGGTCCATTAGTTCATGATGGTACCTCAAATGGCCGAGTAAAAGGGGCAAATTATTATAGAAAATGTATTTGGCTACAATCATTTGGATTTTATAGAGTGAAAGCAATAGTAGAGCCTTTGAATTGAAGGTCTATCCAGGTCAGAATAGGAAGTAATGAATAGGCTCATGGGTACCCTAGGTTCATGCATGGCTTGAAATCATCAAACCTTTTTAAGAAATATCTTATAACTCTCTTTTTTGTAAACAATCTTTTTTGTAAATAGAATGTGTAGAAATGCTTAACTCATTGTTTTTGTTTTATACATTCCCCATATATAGTCCCTTATTGTACATGGGACTTTCTTTTATAGATTAATAGAATACTAAACTTTGCCTTTTCAAAAAAAAAATATTTCGCATTGGTCGTCTTATGCATAATGCATATCATGTTAAAATTTGGGTAGAATCATCAATCCCAAGATTATTGTTTCTCTTTGAATCCATTAACATTCTATCTTTTATTCTCTTATCTTATTCTTCATGGGCTTGGAAAGCTTTAAAACATCATTCTAGACAATCACAAAGTTTCTCTGCTCATTTGTTACTTGCACTTGGTTACAAATATCATTTCCTTGTGCTAATTAATTTTCTATGTTTGAATATTAATCCTTAACAAAAATACCATAATATATATAAATGAATTTTGTAGTCATAATAAACTTTTCTAGAAAATTTACGATAAAGTTCAAAGTATTAGAAACGGCAA